GTAGATATCGTTTCAATGACCTCGATGTCTGCTTGCTTTCCTGCAACTTGATCACACTCCTTGAGCTTACAAGTCTTCACTGAAGGACCCTGATGATGTTGCGTATCTTTCTTACTATGCCACTATCTTGTGATCTTAACTTCAAGGAAAACTGGTGCTGGAACCCTGACGGCTGATTGGCCACTAAGACTGCAGTGGTGCTTGTTGGTGACATTTGTTTATTTAGGGACTTGAAATGATTTATTTTTTCATGGGGATCGGCATTTTTTGTTTCATATTTTGTTTCTGATTCTCTTCGTGGCATTGTCATGTAGGTTTGTGAACTCCACCGTCTCTATCGAGTACAGAGAGTTTTCATGGATGAACTCAAGAGGACAGGGGAACACTCTTCCCCCGTGCAGGTTCATTCATCTCAACCAGGTCCCTTTGCGAACAAGGTACTTGCTGGGGTCACAGAAAGATTATGGCAGTGGAATGGTTTTCCTTCGATCGATGCTGGCCGCAGCAGAGCAGCTACTTCAGGCGTTGACCATTTACATACCCATCAAAGCTTCCAAAATGGTACAGAAACAAGGGAAAATGCAGGTTCTCATGGGATCAATGGCTTTGCGGGTTCCAAGGTCAGGAAATCTCCTAGACAAGTGTTTGACCTTCAGCTCCCGGCTGATGCATATATAGATGATGAGGATGCAGAAGATGCAGAAGAAAGAACACCCATCAAGAGACTGTTTCGAGATGAAGATTCAAGGGACGCATTTATGGGGCTTCTTCCTGAGAAAAATGTGAAACTCGACATTGGTAGTGCTCAGAATCATAGTAGTCCGTATGAAAGCAAAAACAAATCGGGTAAAAATGTTCAGAAGGATCTGCATTGGCACACACTGGCTGATCTAAATGAGCCCCTAAAAGAAAGTGACGAGGAAGCTGAGCTTTCTTCAGGGAAGCTCCCAGTTCAGATGATTCACTACAAAGAGCTCCAAGGGCATCAAAAGTCCTCGAAATCAGATTTAAATTTCCTAGGCGTCCAAGATGATTATAAATCTGAAGAGTTGACGTTTCTTCGAGGGGTTCGAGCTGAAAAAGGACGTGAAGGGTTGACCTTCAGAGATGAAATCGGTAAGCTTTCTTCACTAAATTCCAATTTTGCTCCTGGCAGTCTCCTTACTTGGATTTTTTACTGGAAATCCTCTTAAATCGTGAGTGCTGTAGAAGCATTGATCATCTGTTTAAAGTTAGAGATTCTCTTCTCGTCTTCGTTTTTTTTTTTTTTTTTTTCTTGCGCGTCCACTCATTCTTGGACACCATTCTTACTGTGATATGTCCTGACTATCATGTGTGTGTTTAGTATTTTGATTCAAAAGAAGAACCTCGTCAAGGTATCTGTCATAAGACATACCATAAGAAAGATTATTTGACTTCTATATATATTAAGGCCGGAAATGGGAAGGATTAGGTGGCCATTTTGATAGCTGTTGATTATGTTTTCCTTTGGAAATTTTTACTTGGAGTGGTGAATCCTTGAATGAGAAATAGCACAAAATCATGGTGGGATTTTTATCACTCAAAACCAAAAATACACCGGAGAAATTATTGAGAAAAAGCTGAAATGTAGGCCTTCAAACCAACTAAAATTTCAATGGGATCATCTCTATTTGCAGATATTTTCCATCAAATAATACAAGTCATTTTATTCTGTAATGTACATATGAATTATAGTCATTCTTGGTGTTCTCTGTCCCCTTCATTCATGTTTCCTCTGCTTGTTTCCCTTCTACAGGGCCGCCGAGCAGCCACACAAATTCCTTCACATTATGCATCAGCAATATGGATGTGAAACCATCATCTGAACGTCTTCTAATGGAGGGCAATCGAGCTCAAGATTTATTATCAATTTTCTCCCCCAAGAAAAATAAAACCGATTCATCATGGTTCACAGAAGTGCCCTCTCGGGGTAATAACAAGCTCATTGATGGTTCCCATGTGACTAATCCAATCTGTTCAAGATTAACAGCTCCTTCAAGCTATAGCAACGCCGGATCCTCACTGTTTCCACCATGGAGGAAGTCGTCAAGCAGCTCAAGCTGCGCCACTCAAGAGGCTGAAGCTCTCCCATGCTTGAGTGAGCCTACTACGGTCAATATCCAGAGTAGGAGCTCCAGTTCATCTTCTCAGAACCTTCTTTGTGCCTGTGACAAGTGGGCACACAAGCATCGTCCAAAGTCAACGCTGGGGTCAGTTGGTGCAGTTTTTCTTCATCCGGATGGTCTCCCCCATGCTTTCTCTTCAACCAAAGGTCAACGCTGCAGCTCTCCTTCACATGGGAATCTACCATCAGTCAGCTTTACCAGGACAGACCTCATCCGTGGCGCTGGTTCTGCCTGCGAGAGATCAGAAGGTTCTGGCCTTCAGAGGTGCTTGAAGATCCCCATAGACATGGATTTGAACTTGGAACCTTCAAATATATCTCAGAATGGCACTGAGGAGGAGGACGAGGACGAGGAGGAGGAGGAGATTCAGCTGCCTGGTGAACCCATCAAGAACCCTAATGGGGGTCCTCCCCAAAAGGATATAGCTCTTGTGCAGGGGAATTCGGAGCTGGTGTCATACTCTCCCATGTTAGCCTGGGAAATTGGTCGGAAAATAGAATCCAAAGATGGTAGCTGCTTTGATCTTCTGAAATCAGTGTGGAAAGCCCAGAATGAGGAATCCTCAGAGTTGAATGGAAGGAAAATTCTTGGGTTTCCACTGCCTCAGATGATCCAGGGGAGCTCCCAAGCTGATCGTCGCAAGAACAGAGCGAGAGCTTCCTCCTTTACTGATTCATCTTCTCGTTGTAAGTCTCTAATCTTTGAGAAACTCACCCAGACGGATCCAGTCCTTGAAGAATGCGCCGCAAGAAGCCCTTCTGGTTTTCCTTCTGCTACAGGGACGGATCCAGGGAAGCCGTTGGAGAGGTCGTCGGAGGATGAGGCACGGATTCATCTCCTCTCTGTTCCTGTGATTGACCTGGAGGCGCCGCCCGCCGGAGCAGAGGACAAACCAGACGGGATGCTTCTCACAATGGCGGCAGAGACTATTCGGGCACTGTCGCTCCATGGCCGTACAAGTCGAGAGGAGACCTTGCCATGGCTACCCCCACCTTCAGCTTCGTCCACCGCCCTGCACTGGTTTGCGGAGGCGGTCACGAGCGGCGGAGACGATCGGGGATCTTCCGACGTCGACGGCATGGATTCCTTCGAGCTGACGGCCCTGAAGTTGGAGAAGGTCGAGGTGGAGGAGCCCTCCGCCAGCCGCAGCGGAAGAGAGGAAGCGGTGGAGGAGAATCCGGCGGCGCCGGCGCCGGCGGATCTGCTCCTGAAGAGGTCCAGGCGGGGCCGGCGGTGGCAGCGGCGGGACTTCCAGAGAGACATCCTCCCCGGACTCGCGACGCTGTCGCGGCAGGAGGTGGCAGAGGATCTGCAGATCCTCGCCGCCATGGTGAGGGTCACCGGACAGCCATGGAAGCTCGGCCGTGGAAGGAGCCGGGCCAGAGGAGGCCGCCGGCCGCCGGCGGCGAGATCAGCGGCGAGATTGGTGGCTCCGGCGGCGGCGATCCCCCTGGATCTTCCTCCCCCGAGGTTCTCCGGCGACGCGGAAGAGGTCTCCGGCGGCGGAAGGGGCGTCTTCGGTTGGGGGAGGACGACGAGGCGCTGCTGGCGGCAGCGATGTTCCGCCACCGCCGGCGAGTTGATGGTGGCCATGGACGGGTAGAAGAAGCTCCCTCTTCTTCTCCCACCACCACCACCGTGGAGGAAGAACGCATTCTTCGCGAAGAATGTATTCTCAGAATTCTCAGATTCCAAGACTGAAACTGGGTGAGTTCTCGCTCTTTCCTTCGGGGATTTCTCGTCCAAATCGGTAACGTGGTCAAGAATGCATTCTAGCAGAAGGAAGAATGGATTATGAGGCAAGAAGGCATACTCAGATGTTCCTTTCAAGGCTGAAACTAGGTGAGAATTCTTTCTTTCGGGATTTCTCGTCCAAGCAGTCACGTCGTGAGGAATGCATTCTTAGTTTCACGTACTAAGACTGAAACTGTGTTTCTTTGTTTATTCTTTCGGGATTTCTCATACGAATCACGTGGCTTCAGAGGTTTGTGCCTCCAGGGAATGCATTCTGGATTCTCCTTCGGTTGTTGTAGAATGACTTCCCGGAAAGGAAAGTGATTATGTTGTTTTTCTTCAATGTCAATATCATAGAATGTATTCTCGGATCATTTGTTCCCTGTAGAAGACGGAAGGGAGGACCCTTTGGATTCGTTGTAGAATGAGTTCCCAAAAATGAAAGCGAGTTCCTTCTTTCATAATTTCTCATTCCACCGTATAAGAATGCGGGCTTCGTAATTAAATAAATAAAGAAAAATAAGCCAGGCCCACTCCCCCATTTAGCTTGCTTTTGGCCATTCATAGGATCTCTCTCTCTACCTCTGTAATTTGGTCTTTCTTTCGGCCCAGGATTGCAATGTGGGCCGACAAAAACCGTTTTATGGGCTTTTCCTAGGCCCAGACCAGCTTAATGACTTTAAGGCCCGTTTGGAGTTGAGAGGCCTCTATGGGTCCCCCCCTCCCTCCCATGATGATGAAAAGAAAGTCAGCGGGCTGGCTCGGGCCCACTTGTCTTTAAGTAAGACCCACTCAGGCCCTTCGGCCCGGCCCATTTATAACGTTATTATAATTCATCTAATTTCCTGTTCTTTTAAAAGGTGATGATCATTCGGGTTGTAGGCTTTCTATGCCGTCACTGCGGTGACATTTGGCGACTCCTCACCTTTCCTCAGTTTTCGGTCTTCCTTTCGGCCTGCCTGGCCGGATGGGCACGGACTTTCACGATATATTGTCATACTTTTTGGCGGGAATTCAGAAAAATTTGAATCTCTCTCTCTCGCTCGCTCGCTCGCTCGCTCGATTTCTCTATCTTCGATCTTGTCAGATCTGAGGACGGTAGGAGTGGGGAGAAGAGAAATGGAAGGTAAGCGTCTGGAGGTGAAAAGTCCCATGGGAGACGCGATCTCCAGAATCCGCTTCGCACCAAGATCTAACAATTTACTGATCTCATCTTGGGACGCCGTGCGTAATCATCTCCGACCCCCTCCGCTTTTGTTTCTTCCATCGAATTTCGCTCACTGTCTGGGCCGGTTGCTTCGATGCAGGTTCTCAGGCTTTATGATGTAGACGCGTCGGATATCCGACTGGAAGTTCGTTCAGAGGGTGCTCTGATCGACTGCTGCTTTGTTGACGAATCAGCTGCATTATCTGCTGGCTCAGACTGTTGCATTCGGAGGTGAATTATATATATCTGGTTTTTTCAATTGATTCCCTAGTACCATGTAGGAATCTACCTCCATAGGTGCTTCAGATTTGGGAAACATTCCTAATGGGATGGGTGTTTACTATAACTATATATGGGGCTTCTTGCGTAAATGAATTGTGTTTGCATGAAAACAAAATCCACGTGCCCTAAATTTGGCTAATATTGTACTTACCGCTATAACAACTTTAAAAATCTCTCGTATGGATTGCTTGTTATTCATGAATTTATCTGGCATGTTCATAAATTTTCTTAGGTATGACTTGCCTTCAGGGAAGCATGAAACGGTGGGAAAGCATGATGATGTTGTGACCTCTGTCGAGTATTCCGAAGAAACTGGTACTTTTCGTCTTCCGAAATTTATTCTTTAAATATGTAAAGTACCTTCCTTCTGTCACTGGAACAATCGCGTAAAGTTTCTGCATGTCTTGATTTCTGTCTATTTAAAGAACAATGGCTTAACCATATTCTTCTTAGCTTTTTCAATTGATTTTGTTGGTCTTCTGGTCGTTTTCTTTTCAGTAATGAGCACCATGTTTCATGTTGGTTATCTGTTTCCAGAAACGATGAGGTGTGAATATTTATCATGATTTTCAGAACATCAAGTCTATACCTTTCATCTGAGTCACTTTGCAGATGACCAGAACTAATGCAGATTTTGTATGAATAAGTCGTATGCAAATTTTTTTATAGTCTACATTCATCTGCTGACAGAATCAGGTTTTCTCTCATGGATAGTTCTACCGGCGATTATCTATATTTTAAAAAGGTTTCGATGCTGTTGGCTTGACTTTGGCAACCTTGAGTTTTCAAATATGAAATGGCTGACCATATTTTAGTTCCTACTTCCTGAATATGAAGGTGGTGGTTTCATCCTCTGCAGGACAGTTGATCTCAACTGGAATGGATAAAAAGTTGATTCTCTGGGACATGCATGCATGTAGGGAAAATGGATTCATCAAAATGGACTCTGAAGTGGAGTCTCTATCTCTGTGTGATTATTATCTAATGGCTGCAGTTGGAAAGTGTGTAAATGTATATGATTTGAGAAATCTAACCGGACCACTTCAATCAATGGGATCCTCCATGGACTTTCAAATATGCTGTGTCCGCTCATTCTCTAACAGAAAAGGTAATAGAGATTTATTTCGATATAAATCCGTAGCTTGTATTTTCTATTGGTAATTTTGAGTTAAAAAGCTCCCTATCAGCTTAACTCTCTCTCTCTCTCTCTCTCTCTCTCTCTCTCTCTCCACACTCACACCCACACGCGGATGCATTTATGTCTTTTCTATTCGTCAATTTCTTCTTGTAACTCAAGCGCTACATGCTCTCTTTGGCACTGTTTGTTTTATTATAATTTTGTGCCAAGCATATATTCTCTCTTACTGGCCTTTGGAATATTATCTTCATGTTCAATTAAACAATGTGAAATACTTCAAAAATGTGATTTATCCCTGGATTCTCAGAAATGAGAAGAAATTTGACATTAAAAGATGTAGAGATTATATCACAATATGATCTTGGTGTGGAATTAGAAAAGACTCGTAATGAAAAACTTATGTAATAACACCAAGATAAATGGTCATTTCATCAAACCCTTGATGTATGCTACTCTCCAAGTCTTCTACTGGGAATTTACTGCATCATCCTTAGTCTGTTATAAGTTATCTTCTTAAAGGTGACTACCAATTTTTTACTCCAAGTCCTTGGGAGATTCTCAGAAACTTTTTAGAAACCAACCCTAAAAACTATCACTAAACAACTTATGAGAAATTTTAAAAATCTCTAAGAGTGTCGAAGTACGAATGCACCATGCCAGTAAGGTCCACTTGAACCCTAAGAAGATCACTTTGGTACGTGTGAGCGTTGGAGATTATGAATTCCTAGGTCTTGCACTCTTGAATTTATTGAGGTCCTTCTGATTCTGATATGATGTGGCTTTTATAGCCAATGGAGTGGGCCTGCCACTCGCAAAAGTTCATTTCTTAATGATTCTTAGAACGGACAATTTTCTACTTATTCTTTCTAGTCATTTTGTCGTTAAATTGAGGCTTTAAATCATCAAGATTAGTCTATTGAGTTCGTAAAAACAGAGGCATGTGTAATTCTCTAGGTGCTCTCTTTTCTGTCTTTAGTGCCTCATAGATTTACTTTTAACTTTGGATGTACCCTTTGGTCATTACTCTTTTCTGTGTTTTGCAGGATACATAGTTGGTTCCATAGATGGACGTGTTGGTGTAAATTTTTTGGAGAGATCTTGTTCAAGTGAAACGGGGTTAGATTCCAGCTTTTGTTAATTATCTTCTGCCATAGTAAATCAGCATTTAATCCATGACTACGTTCATCTTTTTGAGAACATGCTGCATTGTTGAAACTAGCAGAGCCCTGTCTCCATGGCCCTGATGTGTAATCCATACATAAGTTTTATTCAAATAATCTAAAAATATTTAAATTAAATGTTCGTTGACTTTGGGATTTATAGACATTGAGGCTGGCAGATGTGCTTATCGCTGGCCTGATCTTTGGCAGGTGCGTTTTCCTTTGTCATCCAAGGTCAAAGGAAAGAAAGCATCATTTGGTCGGCATAAACGACATTGCAACCCATCCATGGTGTGCCTGAGCTTTCCCTCCTCTCAAGTTGACTTCTATTTATGTCGGATTTATCCCTAGTTGACCTCTAATTTGGGGATTTATGTCGGATGTATTTCAAGTTGACCTCTCAAGTGGGGTTTTGCAGCCAAAATACCTTCGTCACCGGAGATAATGAAGGCTATGCTATTGTCTGGGATGCTCAGAGCAAGAAGAGGAGTTTTGAGGCACGTTTTACCTTTCACAGATCATCTTGTCGATTTCTTTCCCCCCCCCTTTTTTTTTCCTTCTGTAACATGGGTTTTGGTCAAATTCATGACTTTTTTGTTCATGATATGACCACTGATGATTTTCAGGCTGAACTATACTATTTCCCCTTTATATCCGCATTTTTTAACCATAGTTGGGTTAGCTCTACCTAAATTTAACCAGAGGGTTGACTTCTCAGAACGAGAATAGTTTGGAGGAGATTTAAGAACACTATTAGAAAGATGAGGATTTATGAGGAATTATTACCAATTCAAGGTGGATACTGTGAAACTAAAATAAAATATATCTCAGACACTCTTTCATGAAATCATTGGTTGACTTTGACAGGGTTTGTCTATCATGCCTGGTTGACATCTGTTTTATTTGTTGACTATCAGCTAGGGTTCTAAGAATGTTCTTTCTCTTACACAGTTCCCTAGACACAGAGATAGTGTGGCGTCATTATCATATAACCACAGCGGTCAGAAATTGGCCATCGCCTCCAGTTACACGTACAGGGAGGCCAATGAAATGTGAGTCTCCTCCCGCCATATCAGTTTCATCGTGTGAGGCTTCCATCTATTTGACTTTTTCGTGTTTAAGTCATCGTATTAGCAACCTGACGATATTTTTGAAGCTGTTGTGATCATGAGACGGAGTTGTTTTTTATAATTTGTTTTCAGCATGTGATCCGCATAAATAGCTCGTATCAGTTGAAACTCCTAACTGTGGTTGACCTGTCCGACGATTATTCTGAACCAGTTATCCTCACTAGAAGTCAACCCTCTAAATTATATGAGAGTCAAAAGTCTCTCTCCCTTTTCTCTTTCATCGTATCAGAGTTCAATCAGATCGAGATGCAATAAATGTTCTCCTTTTTACAGACGTTGACTTGAATAAAATGGCGGTTAAGCCATTTATTAGATATTATTCAGTCAACCTTCTGTGATCTTTCTGAAACTGTTCCGGATGAAGCGGAGTCTGTCTTTTTTCTTGGGTTTTCTGTTGTAGATCGCTGTAAGGAGATCAATTTATATAAAACCCCTCGTTTTCATCTCTTAAATGGGGTAGACCCGGTGGATCCTGGTCAACAACCATTATGGCCCGGATACCCTCATCGGAAGTCAACTCCTCTCTCTCGCTCTCTCTCTCTCTCTCCCCCTCCCATTGGTATCGGTGATTGCTTGGCGAACTCCAAGAAATGGCAGACACTCAATTGCCCTTCTCTCTCATCGTGTCAGGCAACACGCTCCTGAGATCTTCGTGCAGGAAGTGGACGACCTAGGAAGGCCATTTCTGGAGTGACGTCCATCTCTGTCGCATCTCCATGGGCTCCTCTTCTCTCTCATGTAACCCTCTGCTTCAGGTACTTCCTCCCCCTTTACTGTTCATGGGTGGTGTTTATTTAGAGAGAGAGAGAAAGAGAGCTTTTCCACTAGTGTTGCTGTTCATTATTTTTAATGGACCGGTTACAAGTTACGGGTAGGCCCGGCCCGTTTTCCACGAGTGAAAGTAGGATTGGTTTTAAATCAGTTACTAGTGGTGGCGTCTATGAGGGGGCGCGGCCCGGCCCATTTTGTGCGAGTTGAATATGGTACCTGGCCAAGTCGATCAACGCATGCCATTAAGTGTTTCGTAATCTTTTAGCCTTTATCGTATTATTTGGAATACATTTATTATATTGAAAACAATATTATAACCTCGGGCTTAGTTCTACCTGCCCTTATCATAATATAACATTTTAAGGTAAATAAATAGATAATTAATTAATATATGAAATAACTGTGACAGTCGAAGAGGATTTTCATTTCTAATCTTAGGATTTCTTGAATTATATCTGAATTTTACCACTGTCTTGGAAAGGGGAGAGAGAGAGAGAGAGAGAGAGTAACAACTGCGGAAAAGCCCGGGCCCTGTAAGGACACTGATTTTTCGAGGTGCGGAAAATAATTGGGCCGGGAGATGGGCCCACCAGCCCGTCAAATATTCTTACGTCTCTTTTAACTAGGAGTCCGTAGCACGGTGCGCCTGATCCATACGCTGGAGAGAGAAACCAGAACCTGATCAAGATTGGGGAGCAGTAAGCGTCAGAAACGGTCCCACGCGAATCTGACCGTTGAAATATGATCTGACGGTTAATTATGGCGTTGACGTAACGGGCTCCGGTTCGGATTCCTGAAACCCTAGGCTTTCTCAGGAAAGTACCGACAACACCACCCCTCCTCGCAGTATCAAGAGAGGGAGTCTCTCTCTTTCTCTCTCTCTCTATAACTGGGGTAGACGGTACGCTTCGCCGCCGCCTCTCTCTCTTCCTTCCTTCTTCATCGTCGTCGGCATCAGGTGAGTGGTGGTTTTTCTCTTCCTCTACTTGATGATCCTTTTGCCGATGGCTGCAGGGTTTCATTGAATTGAGTGTGTTTTTCTTTTGGATTCTAGGTATCATGTCGGACGAGGAGCACCATTTTGAGTCCAAGGCTGACGCCGGGGCGTCAAAGACGTACCCGCAGCAGGCCGGGACGATCCGGAAGAACGGGTACATCGTCATCAAGGGGAGGCCCTGCAAGGTTCGTGCTCTTTATGCCGATCTGTGATATGTTGCGGTCCTTCACCGTCCTGCCATTGGGGCATAGGATTGGGGTCGGAGAGCCGGATCTATTGACTTTTATTCTGTTTCAGTTATTCTCTGTGTCGTTTAGCTTTCCGTTGTAGTTCACATTCACTCGTCTAATTGGCACAGATGCTTGTCCTTATTCAGTGTTCATGATTTCATCAACTGAAAACGACGATTCTGCCATGTTTTTTACCCGTAATTTTTCATTTTAGGATGAAAGATCATTTCCATACCGATGAATGTATTTACTTTTCGATAGGCATCATTTCTAGTTCATAGAAAACCTAGGTAACGTTTTTTGGTGAGGATGTGATGACAGTTTGTCGATGAAATTCAGTTTTCACGACGTTAATTCGCATAGTTCTCATTCTATAAATATCTCCTAGATTCGCTCATTAAATCTCGTCATTGCACTAAATGATTTTAGCCTAGATCCCCATTTTCAGTAACCATCTTATACGCCCATTATTCATGTTGTTTGCCATGTTATGCGGCGTGGTTTACATATCTATTTCCATATTCATGCTTCTTTCAATCTCAATGTTCATCTTCTTGAATTTACGAAAAAAATGTACGTACATGATTTTTGCGCTTTTAGTTTTTCATGGACATACAATGGGAAATGGACGACAAGTGTTCATAGGGGTCTGGATATTTGGTTTCTCAGTCTGAAACAGATTTTTTTTAATCAATTAATCGCATTATTTTTTGGGCAGATTCTGCTTGTACAAGCATCCAGAAAGAAAATTCTTTACTCGGGTTTGTTACTTTGCTCTTTTTTTTTCTTGCCCAACCATCAGGGAAGGGAATTATGGGTTATAAATGGATGGTAGCTTAGTTTTAATTCAGTCCTTATATCAGCATATTTCAGTCGAAAACACAAATGTTTCGTTCTTCATTTGCTTATTTGCATGAGCTTTTCATAGACGCGGCATCTTTATGTTATCGGTTTGTATGGATAAAAATCTGGCATGTATTCGCTGTGCAAATGGAAAACGAATAGTTGCTTTTCTTTTGAAATGTCTATGTTCACGTCATTACTGTAAGATATTTTCTAGAAACTAGGGTTTCCAGTTCTTCTTTCGCCAGAATATGAAATCCTAAAGAATAGTTGTGGTATATAATCCAAATCGAGATTGTGCGGATACGAATTTCAGAATATTGTCATCAGCCGGAAATTTTCGTCAGCTGTCAAATAAATGATACGTACTTTGCCTACTTACATTGTTCATTACCACATTCGTGTATAAAATGTGGGTGTTTTCTGATCTCTTAGAGTTCTCAACCACATTCATCGGCAAATTTTCGTCAGCTCCATTTTTATACAGATTGCGGGAGTGAGGATGCCCGTATTTAAGAACTTTGTTGGGGATTAAAATTAGTTGATGGATATTTGTGATCTCATTGAAATGGTGAAGTCATGATGCCCTTTTTGACGGGCTTTGACCCAAATACTGATGCGAATCGGATTGTTATTGCTATTTCTGCATTGAAAAGTTTGTGCTTCTTATTCAAGCACATTCAACTGCGACTATGACCTTTATCATCACATGAGATTAACATTTTATTTTCTCTGAGTTTCAATGCTCTTATCGTGATTCGTGATCGGTTGAGCAGGTTGTGGAGGTTTCCACTTCCAAGACCGGGAAACACGGACATGCTAAGTGCCACTTTGTGGCCATTGATATCTTCAACGGGAAGAAGCTGGAGGATATTGTGCCATCCTCCCACAACTGCGATGTAAAAAATTGCCTTTTAAAAATTATAAAAAAAATCGCTTCAATCTTTCTCAGTCACTGATTTTTTTTTTTTCCCCTATCTCTGATCCTTTCCAGGTCCCCCATGTTAACCGCACCGACTATCAGCTGATTGATATCTCTGAAGATGGATTTGTATGGTTTAATCCTCTCTTTTTTTTAATTAGTATTTCATCCTGGTATATATGATATTCAAGTCAATTTTACTTCGTGTAGGTGAGCTTGCTGACTGAAAATGGGAGCACCAAGGATGATCTCAGGCTCCCTACCGATGATCAGCTCCTCACTCAGGTGAGTCCTTTTTCCTTTTTTGGCGAACTTATATCATATGATATCAGTTTTTGGTAAGTTGTATGATCTCACGTGATTCGCTCAGATGAACTCGAAAGCTCATCACTCAGCTCCCCACTGAGAATCAGCTCTTTTATTTCTCAAGTCCCTGCACAGTTCTTGAATAACGAATAAGCCCTCGTATTTTTTTCTTTCCTGGAGCTTTTGAGGGCTCGTTAAACTGCCCCCTATACATTCTGCTCGGAGTATGCGGACGTTTATTAATCTTTCAATAAATGTCTTCGTTCCTAGGGATTGAACATAGAGAATGGTTTCCTAATTCCTCAGCTCGCACAAATCTCATATAAACCCTTGTTTTTGTCCTCTCTTTGTCTTTTAGACCCTGAAAGTGCTCAATTTATTTACTAATGGATGGAAATTAGGGTTCATTGATCAGCCAATTACTATCCTGTTTTTGACTGTGAGCAGATCAAGGAGGGGTTCGGGGAGGGGAAGGACCTGGTGGTGTCGGTGATGTCAGCCATGGGAGAAGAGCAGATCTGTGCCATCAAGGACATCGGCCCCAAGTAGCCTAAAAAGCCTCCTCTCCCCCGGGTCTGCTGTTTCCTTTTAGTGAGAGAATGTCTTCGTCTCTTCTTCCTATTCTGTTGTTGTCGCTGCTGCTGCTGCTGCTGTTGTTGTTGTTCCTTTAGAGAGAGAGAGAGAGAGAGAGGATGATTATGGATGACTCTGGGCTTGTCAGGCCTATTCTACCTGATGCGTATTTAATCTGATCTTGAGCTTGAGTTGGGTATTTTCAGTGGCAGAATCTCTCTTCTTATTCTGTTGCTCTTGTTGTTGTTCCTTGAGAGAGAGAGAGAGAGAGAGAGAGAGAGAGAGAGAGAGAGAGAGAGTTCGTCTATCTGATTTTATATAGTCCTAGTAATGTTTCCTTAAATAAGGCGCAGTATTTTTATGTAAAAAGGGTCCAAAAGGGGTAAAAAGGATGCATTTTTATGTAATTCGATTTTAATAAAATGTTTATCATCTTATTTTTTGACGACGTAAAATATATTAAGAAGTGAACAGTAATTTTATATTGTTTATTTCGAATTTTAATGACACATTATAAACTCGGGTCATTAATAGGATTATCAGTAGGGAGTATAGTACCAAAGAAAACGACCCGGCCCGGTTCTAGCCACCCGGGCCCGGTCTTATGGAGGCTATGTTATTTTTGGGGGTCGAATTTGAGTAAAGTTTCAAAGAACCGGGCCGGCCCGGTTCCTCCCCCATTACCGGGGCCATCCCCATTATCGAGGCTGTCAGAGGGTATTTTATTTGTCGGGCTCGAGTTTTGAATTACAAATAGGACGAACTGGCTCCGGCCCGGTTCTAGCCCCTCCCGGCCTAGGCTTTCAGAGGTTATTTTATTTTTCGGGATCGAATTTGAGTACAAGTTCCGAAGAACCACGCCGGCCCGCTTCCTCCCCGTTACCAGGCCCGTTGTCGTTATCCTGGCTTTCAGAGGGTATTCTATTTGTCGGGCTCGAGTTTTGAGCACAGTTACGATAAAACGGGCCCGACGGGGCCCGGCCGGGTCTGGGCTTCCCTAGCTCATTTTACTCTTTTAAGTTTCATTTTACAAATATCCACATAATGTGTGTATAGATAAATTATGTTAAATAAGGGCTTTTATAAAATTTTACGCTTCCGTTATATCACGGAAGGGGGCGATGATCAAACATTTCTGTTTCAGATTTCGCGTCGGGCGATGGCGGAGGAAGGACCGAATGGAGCTGGAGAGCAGCCAAAGGCGGCTGTCCACATCGTACATGTCCTACGGGAGGATGGCATCGATCCCGAGGCCCATCATGTCAGGACCCTTGCTTCCGTCCTCGGCAGGTTCCTTCGTGTTTCGACGATCTTCCTCTTCCAACCCCAAATGATCCATTCATCCTGTTCCGTTCCGTTCCCGAGTTTCGTGGCCTTTTATCCTAATTTTGTTCCCTTTTTTTCTTTGTCTCTCATTTTTATACGTTTGCAGTGAGGAAGCGGCGAGGGCGGCCCTGGTATACAGCTACAAGACGGCAGTTAGTGGTTTCTCTGCGAAACTCACTCCTCAACAGGTCGATGAGATATCGAGTATGTTTCCTCGTGTCTATTATCCTTCTTCTCTTCTTTGTGTCCGGTTTTTATCTCTCCCGGTGAACAGGGTCATTCTCTTGTTTGAATAATCAGTGGAATAGTCATTTCCTCCGAATTTCTCGCTTTTTCGTGTTTTCTAATCCTTTTCCCCATTTGTATTAGTGCAAATACTTATCCATATTGATATATAACCTTAGGGACATATTTACCAATGATTGGCAATTGTGAAGACGAGAATGTTGGTTTTCCTTATTTGACGATTTTCGACATTGCTAAATTATGGATTAAGTTTTAGAGAGCCTCTCTGGTGCCAAATCTTATGAGACAGTGTTGCAAAGTGGGAAACATAACCTGCCACATTATCCTGGCAGTTGAGGGGGTTTCTTCTGCCAGTGATATTTTAATTTACATTAAAAATATCAACTGATTAGTTGATGTTTGTTTTGGAAATATGAACGAAGATCCGTGAATACTGATCAAACACGACGCCTAGAAACAAAGGAATAGACGGTGGGTTCCTTATGTAACTTCAAGATTGGATTATGTTTTCGGCTGAGGATCTAAGGTTATGAGCATAGTCATTGGCCGTGAGAGACAGGCCACAGTGAGAGAAGATGGGTTATCAGGAGTTGAGTTCCTTCTGTCATATTTTTTGTGGTAATGGTTGTGATCTAGGCCTTGATGGGACTGCTTCCATACTAGTCGGGTTCAGCACCATCCGATCCAAATCTACCTCTGGAGTGTCTCAGAGAAAATCATAAAATTCTCTCTTACTTTACTATTTATGGGTCGAATCGTTATGAAATCCGGGATGTGCCGATTTTCTGGCTGGTCTAAGCTGATCCTACTCAGGTTGGATAATTTAAAGCACCACTTCTGCCCTAAAAAAATTAGAATATGATGGTGTGGATCTCTGGGGGATGGTAGCTGATAGGAAGGAAGTAATAAGAGTTTGGAATATGAGGATTAAGAATAAGAGTTGAAATTTTTTTCTTCTAAAAAATTTCTAGCTGCCTGCTGCCATCGTCCAAGTTTTTCCACATCAAATGCAATGCGCACTAAACTCATGGAAGGAGCCAAGAATTTTAACTGTTTCTAGGTCATACCCTCGCATTTGATTTTAATTGCTTATCTTTAAGGTGGGGTTGAGTTCGTGAAGAGGGGGCGGGCCTGTCAAAGGTTCTTGCTTATGCCGCCCAAGCTCACAAACAGAGAACAAGGCCCTTGAAAATGTTCCTGAAACGAAGGAATGGGGAGAGTTTGATGTGGGAAAATTAGGATCTAAAACTTTATCTCCCTACCCTCTGGTATGATCTCTATTGCTGGCACTCTCTTCTCAGTGGATCAGTGGAGTTGTTGCCAAAGTAAGGTCCCTCAGTTCTATCCCAGAACGAATTTCTCTAGATAGTCAACCAACTGCCGCTTCATTTTAACTATTTTCCTATGCCTGTGAAGCTGACATACTGCTTTGCTCACACGTGGCATGAAACCCCCCAAGAGCGCCATGGTCCGGTTGGCTTGCATGACTTGGATCTAGGGCTAGCTGAGGGAATTGTATCTGAGCTGGAGACTTGGATCTTCTTCTTCTTCTTCGTCTTCTTCCTCTTTTTTCTGGCACAGGAGCTTCAGTTTTCCTAGGACTTTTCACAGAAGAAACTAATGCATACCCAGACGTTCCCATTGGATTTTATTTTTTCCCTGCATAAGTTTTGTCAGAATCACCAGAAAAACATAATGATATAATTTATTTTATTTTTTTAATGCAAGGGCCTGAGACATCCTAGAATGGTCACAGAAGAAATCACAGAATATCCATAGATCCCCATTGGGTATCGTGCACTTATTTACCAGTTTCTTGATTCCATCTCTCACGTTCGTCTGCTCGAGAAATATTTCTATTCACGGTAATAATCAGTTTCCAAGATCTTCTTGACGATCGCCAGAAAAAGATAGTGGTACACTGGTTTTATTACTGAAGAAATCAAGAACACAAATCTTGGGGTATGGTCCTCTTTTTATATTTTCTATTTTTATTTTATAAATGCAAGGGCCTGAGACATCCTAGAATGGTCACAGAAGAAATCACATGATATCCAGAGATCCCCATCGAATCTCGTCTACTTAATTTACCAGTTTCTTGATTCCATCTCTCACCATCGTCTGGTCAAGAAATATTTCTATTCGTGGTAATAATCAGTTTCCAAAGAGTTCTTCTGAGGGATCATTGGAAACAGATAAGCGGTGGAAGGGGCTTTTTTTAATCCCAATTAATTTATTTTTAAAAATCCAGCTTTCTGTCCCTGATCTCTTTCTTCTTTCTCGTTAATCTGCAGAGCTCCCGGGTGTTCTTCAGGTCCAACGCGACCAAGTTGTCCAGCTGGCCTCTGACCACAGGTAGAACCCACCCTCCCCTTGGTCAACGCCATGTATGTAGTAATCATATGGTAAGTCAGTAAAGTGGGCTTTCCTCTATGAAATAAAAGCCTGGGAGGTGGCGAACATCTCACCTCGTGTGGATTTTCATGAATAAAAATATCACCTACTTGACTTTCCTCAGCCGCACTTGGATAATGGGATATGGTGGGCCCACGGTGGGCCTCTGACTTGGCCCCAAAGTTGACCAATAGTGAGAGAACCCTATTCACATATAAGGAAATCTTTTCAATACAAGAGGACGTGCACAGTGAGTTCTAGTCTCCCTTATTCAATCACCACTTTAGGTTCCATAAATGAAGCCCCAGGGGCTGTCAATGAGACTTTGAATTGCCCATGAACATCAGCCCACTGGCCGGGATGGTGGTGGCGGCGGCGGTGGTTGGTCAACTTGGCTGTCCCGGACTTCTCAATGAAGGGGGAGGGGCAGTCAGCAGACTCGTGGGGGCCCTTCCTGGCCCGGTTAGGGCCTCCGCTCAGCTGGGTGTGGCTCATGAGAGACTGAGCTGGGCGGAAAGCGGTGGTGGCGGTGGCGGCCGAGCTGTGTGGCGGCGATGACCGCTACATGCCCTCGGAGGCGGCGTCGGTTATCTGGCCATGGACGCCGGCCCTGGCTCCGGGCACGCCGTGGTTGTGCTTCCTCTCATAAGTGGTGATCACCACCTTGTGGTCGGTGGAGGATCGTTCGATGTGCTTGCGGGCGTTGCAGCCCGGGCTGGTGCACTTGTAGTAGCTCCTGCAGAGGAAGAAAAATTGTTTCGGATGTGAGCATTTTATGATGGGGATCCATATAAGTTGATCATTTTTATGGGGATAGATATGACGTTCATGTGTGTCCATTGCTCAGAGACTGATGAAATCCCTAGGATTCAGATGAATCAAATATATATACATATATATATATATATATATATATATATATAAATAATTTGAGATGAAGTTTATATTAGACAACAAAACTCCCAGGATATTTATAGATGATGGTTGATGGTGATGGTGATGACGATGACGACGATGATGATGATGATGATGAACACCAAAGATTTGGCCAGATTGGTCGATCAGGGGACGAATTATCCATAATTGGTATATCGTGCATGGGTTGACCAGAAGATCAGCCCAACTAGCTGCCGGGCACGGATTAAGAGGGATTTTATCAGCCCATCTGGGTTGATCGGATTCCGAGCTTCTCACTAAACAGAACCGGTAGCCTCTGTCTCTCTCTAGAGTTCTTTCTGAAGGAAGCATGTACCTTGGATTGGGGTTCCCTTTGACCACTTTCTGGCCGTACTTGCGCCACCTATACCCGTCATCCAGGAGGTCAACCTCGCTCGTCGTCTGCACGATGATCTTCGGCTCCACCGGCACCGCCACCTTGCTCATCGTGCCCGCCGCCGCCTCCCCTGGTTGAGCCTCCATTTTCCTACCCCAATCACCAATAAATTAAATTAAATTACACTAAATCAAATTACATTGATATATATGATCAGTATTTTAAATGGGATGAATTTTGGAGTCACCTTCGCTTGGGGTCTCGGCGGGGATCCTTCCCTCTTCCTGTTCTCACCTCCGCTTCATCCATGTCCTCGACGTCGCTGAGGCCTGACAGCTGTTCGACGATTTGCCCCCCATCTGATCTGCTCCTAGACGCCTCCCCAGAGCCCACTGGTTCATCTTCTCCATCGAAATTCCCCTCCTCCGCCTCTGTGGGATCGCTGGGAGGAGGGGAGCTCCCTTCGGGGGCCCAGCCGCCTCCGCCGGCCGGCGCAGCGGCGGCGGCGCCGCCGCCCTTGGGCCGCTTGCCGGAGGAGGGGAGGGGATGGTTGTGCTGCCCCTTGTAGGTGATCTCCACCACCTGGCCGTCGAGGGATTTCTCCACCTTCTTCTTCACCTGGCAATTGGGGTGGGTGCATTTGTAGTAGCTCCTGGGGAATTCGCTGCACTTGACCTTCTTTTGGCCGTACTTTCTCCAGTTGTAGCCGTCGGCCGTGGCGACAGCCGCCGGCCGGGCTGTGCCGGCGCCGACGGCGGAGCTGACCGGCGGTGGGAGCGCCGGCGAGTGGTCTGACGGAAGATGGGAGCTCCCGTGGGCCTGAGCCGCCTGAAGGGCCTGGGCGGTGACTTGAGCCAGGGCCTGCTGGTGGGAGATGCCGAAGGATCCCTGCATCACGTCGCAGAAAGATGGTGAATTATTTCCGGCCACAGAAGTCTCTCGATCATGTGTTTATCAGCGATCTGAGATCTCTCGACCAGAAGAAACATGCTCGTGATTGAAACGAGTTTGAGTGGTTCGGTGATAGACATTCGTGATCTAGATTTGGTATGTGGCGAAAATAACTTGCTCGTTTGATTCTAAGAAGAGGATGCTCTTCCTCGGTGAACTCGAGATTTTAGGATTTCCAGTCAGTCTGCCGATTGAAGCTCTGAGGTTGAAAATCAAACGGAAGATAGAAGAAGGATGGAGAATATTAACTCCTGGAAGAATTATGTACCTGACCAGGTAAGAAGAAGGTTGGAGATTCCGGCAGACCGGTGGGGCTAGGGATTGGCGGCAGCATGAAGAACGGCGGCCCCAAACCGTGCATTCGCTGTGACCTCACATCTCCGTCAACACTCTTCTTCTCTCTCTCCTCCGCCGGCGGGGAGAGCGTGCTCTCGTTTGACCCCGCCGTCGATCTCTCGCGTTCCTCTCCGGAGGAGGACGGCAGCGCCGCTAGCGCTCCGCCGCCGAGCGCCGCGGCCGGAGAAGCCATGGCGCCGGCCAGGAGCTGCAGGAAGGAGCGGCAATCGGACTCCGGCTCCTCTGCGAAGAAGCTCGAAACCAAAGTCATCGGCCCGGGGCTGACGCCGGCAGCGCCGCCGCCGCTTCGGAAGAGGTTCTCGCCGGTGGGACGCGGCGGCAGGGCAAGCCGCGGCGGCGGCGCCGCCTTGGTCGCTCCCCCTTCCTTCTCCGCCATCACCTTTGCTTGTCGGTGGAGGATTCCCCTCCTTCAGATCTAACAGAACCTCCAGCAACGAGAAGAAGAGGAAGTGACGTCAGCCGATTCCGGCATAGCTTTCTCTCTTTCTCTCTCTTTCTCCCTTCTCTATCCACTCGTTTCCGAAGCTTTTAGACCCAGAAAGAGAGAGAGACAGAGAGAGAGCTTGCTTCGCTCACTCTCTCACTCTCTCTCTCTCTCTCTCTCATCGAAATGGCAGCTAAATTCCCTCCAAATTCGCTTGGAATGAAATGAACCATCGTTGACTTCTGGAGAAGGGGACACGATAGGAGCGTCATTACACTCGTAGCTTTAAATTATTTCATCGCAATATTAAACTAAAAAATAAAAATCCCTGTACTATTATTATACACTATATCAGGTCTCTCAAACCTTTTCTTTTTTACAATTCCTCCGGCGGGGCTCATTCCGGGCCCGGGCCTCATCAAGCCCCAACCCAGCCTCTGGGCCAGATCCAAAGAAGAGAGAGAGAGAGAAAGAACCGGGCCGGGCTTGTAGGAAGATCTTATTGAGTGAAAAATATATATTTTCACGGTAAATGAAAAAATCCGGTACAGCGAGTGGCCTTCACTGGAGCTGTGAGCCGCAGCCGGCGGGCGAGGGCTTGACAATGGAAGAGGAGCGGGATGGCCGCCTCCCGATTGGCGGCGACGGCGGCGGCGGCGGCGGGAGGGCGGCGCCGCCTCCCCGGGAGGAGTGGTCGCTAGAGGATCATCCAAGGGGATGGGAGGTGGTGGTGATGGACAGAAGAGCCTTGCTCTACGAGGATGATTTCTCTGTTTTCCCTCCTAGCGATCATGAGGGCCTACTGGTGGAGCAAGCTCCCATGGCCGCGGCGGAGGGGAGGTCAGCGGTTGTTGCTTCCCCTCTGTCTTCTCCTCCCTCCCTCTCTTCTGCGGGGAACGGCGGAGAGTCGCGGTGGCCGGTTCGGTGTCACCTTCAGCGGAAGGGAGAAAGGTGGCCTCTCGTCGAATTGGCCCGGAGGGCGTTCGACTCCGGAATCGAGCGTCTCTGGTTCAAGCTTCCGCGACCGAGCGTGGGGGCGGTGCCGGCGGGGGTGAAAGGAGGGACGATCTGGTCGTTCACCGCCGTTGCTGGCCTGACAGCACTTCTCCTGTACAGTAATCACAGATACCGCCGGGAGAAGCTCCGGCTCCTTCTCCTCATCAAAGAGAAGGATCAGGTCTGTTCACTTTACATTCTTGCATCATCAGTTCGTATGCATTTATTTTCCCCTAGTTGGACTGAACTGAACTCTTACTTACGGTAAACCACGCTGTCTTCTCCCACAAGGTACTGCGCGATCTTCTAAAAGTAGATGTTTATTACTTCATCTCCAGCTGGTTTTTCTGAAGGGGATTTGATCTATAGTTCACCTTGATTGATCTCTGATCCAGCTTCCGAGTTCTTAAACCTCTGTGCATTCAGTAGTAGAGACTGGCGAGCCGATTAAGTGATCATGGCGTCCAAACTCTTCTGAATGTAGATATTCTTCACACAACATTATTAAATACATCACTGATTCGGATGAATTCGGATGTTTCTGCGTTCTGTTGATAAACCTTTAGGTGTACCATTCAATTTTATTTTCTTAATTTCCGAATGGGTATCATGGGGAATCATAGTCCGTGCCTCTAATATCATTGAGGCCAGAGATTGCAAAGAATGGGACTTCCTGTGGAGCTTGGCAGCCAGAATCATTTGTTAGGAAGCTCGCGTATAATTCGCTAAGGGAATTATCCTTTAAACCAGAACGTGTTCTCCAGCCCATTTCTATGTGAGTTCAGTGATGCTATTTATCTGAAAGAACAGTCATCTTCTTCAGCTCATTTCTATCACTTGCATCTTTTGATCTTGCTTCTTTTTCTAGCATGTGACATCAGGAGTCTGATAATAAGCGCCTACTGCATATGATCTCAGCAATTCTGGGTTTCCCTTGGAACAAACAGTCCTCTGAGTGCTTACCCATCTGTGCGAGCTAAATGTTCTGTGAATGAGGATGGCTCATTTCGCTCATCGGAAAAGGAAATTAATTATTCTAGTATGATTCCCAAGATATAGTTCTTTTCATTTAATTCAGAAAGGACGATTTATTTACCTGAAAATAATATCTCGAGTAAATGGAGATGAAGTTGCCGAACTTATATGACTGTTTTTTTTTTCCCCTACATTTATCTACGGTGGTTTGAGATCCTCTCCCCTTTTTCTATTGCTGAACAAGGGATGGTAGGTGGGGAGGAGAAGAAGAAGAAGGGCAACAACTGAATTATACGAGGGATTAATAGAACCAGTAGAAGGATTTGTGCTAAAATGAATTTGTTGCTCAAGAACACTGTCAAGAAGATCTTTCCATAATTGGTAGCTTTAGAGAATTCTATCACTTTGGCAATCTTTTCCACCCATTGAGCAAGGCTTTTGGTCAACTATTTCATGTCGTCTTGTTCTAATAAATTCCGTTCATGCATAGTACAGTCCTAGGTAAGCTGATGTGTGTTGATTATTCCCTTGCAGACGATCACTTGGCTGTCCCAGCACATCGCCCAGATGAACGAGCTCATGGCAGCTCGTCTGATCGTTCCAGTCGCGAGGAGTGCTTGAATGGCCGAGCACCTCTCCTTCTCCCTCCCCATTATTTCCCTTCTGAGAAAGGTATGGTGTATGCTTAGTTCTTCTCTGTTTGGCCGTGTGAATGCTCTCTTGCCCTGGGAAGATTGGTACCGAAGGTCTTATATCTCTTCTCTTATTGGGCCACCATTCACAATCTTGGGCCCACCTTTCTAAAGGGTTTTGGGTCCCATTGTGCTCCGCCACGTGGCCCCATTGTCGGCTCCTGTCCCATGTGGATTGGATCACATGGATATGTCGGCGGTGGCTGTTTCTCTCCTCAGTTTGATTTTGCTTGCTGAATGCCACGTTTCAAAGTCACGTGGCCGTGCCCCATTTGTTGGCTACCCAACGTGCCTGCTATCCCATGTGGATTGGATTGAATAGATATTTTGGGTGTGGCTGCAGTGCCACGTGTACAATTGTCAAGCTCTCATGTGGCTGTTAAGCTAAGACCCAAGTTTCGAAATAATTGGGCCGTCGTCTGGCTTTCTCGGCCCACTGAACCTCCCTTCATTTCAGTGGATTTTGGGCCGCAACCACCAGGTTCATTGATGACCGGCATGAGCCGGCCCATTTGCTCGACAAACGACACTTCAAACGGGATTGTATTCATAATAATTATGAGAAATAGGAAAAAATGAATATTTTCTGGTTTTGTTGAAACGTGTCCAACAATGAAGAGTCCCATAGCCGACAAGTGGCGATTGGTGAAGTGGGTGTAACCGCCGGAGATTGTTAACGGGTCGGTAAGATCCGAACCGATAAACAATACACGGTTTTGTACAGTGAGAATATTATGACAATAATTACGAAAAATAACGACTTTAATAAAAATATTCCTGCTTTTTTCTGAAACGTGTCTAACAATGAATGGGCCCATTAACCGACACGTGGCGATTGGCAAAGTGTGTAACCCGCCCGATATTGCTAACAGGTAAATGGGTAATATCCGAACCGATAAGGCTTTGGGCGTGAGAGAGTGGAGGGGGTGGAGAGAGAGGGTAAAGAGAGCGGCGTACTGGCGATCTGGTTTCCTCGCGGTGTCCATCCTCTCATCTTGAGTCGTTCGCCATCTGTCTCTCCCGCCTTCTCGGAGGGGGGGTTCTTGATCTCGGAGAGGTGGGGGAGGGAGGAGAATGAAACTCGGGCTTTTCTTCGACCCCATTTGCTCTCCCCGACGGCGTCTGTAGCACCGCCCAGGCCATGGTCGATCGGAGGCGGGGTGTTCAATGGAGCCGCAGTCGATCACTTCCAACGAGCTCAATTATATCGTCTTCCGATACTTGCAGGAGTCAGGTCCTTCATCTCTTCCTGTCTCCATGCCGCTGTCTCTGTCTGTATGTCTGCCTGTCTCTATTGCGTATATTTGTTCTTGTTCTTTTTTTGGGTAGTAGTCTCCGTTTCTGATCTAGGGTTTCTGGGAGTTCGTCTAGTGACATGGCTTAAATGAGGGTATTATTTTTTCCCCCTTTTTTCACGATTCGCAGCGGTGAAGTCAATTCACGTCTCCGCTAGATCCGTGCGTTTGTTAAATTTTCCTCGTTTTTCCGTGTTTGGAATACCACACAGGCTGATTTTGTATTCTGCATTTTCTCTCAAGTCAGTATTTTGCTGAAAATTTGAATTATAGGATAAATAGGCATTACCCTTTATTTTCTGAGAGGAGAACATGAGAAGAACGTTTGCTTTTGAAAGTGCGTGTGAGAAGATATTTCTTCCGTTTGCTTTAAATATATGCCATGTGTACACTTTTAGACATTTTTCTATGAGGGAGAGTTGTAGAAAAAATTATTGCTGGAAGTAAATCAAGTCTGTCCTCCCCAACCCGGGGAATGACCAAGGGTTTTATAAACCGTCCATGTCTCATCCAGGGGCCCCACATTTAAAAGTTTATGAATGGGTAGTTTCTTGTCTTTTTCCCGTAAAACGATTGGAATTATTCACTTATAAATTTTAAAAATACAAAAAACTACTGGGTTGCTTTAAGAGGGTTACGCTTCAGTTTAACTGAAGATTTTATACATTCATTTTCTGTTCCCAAATCCTAACTCAGAGAACAGTTGCCGGTGGGAATACCATGAATCTTGGGCATTGTTCATCTACAGTTTCTGGAAGCTCCCCCAATGTTTCTTCCTGCATTTGCATAATCTAATGCTAATTCTGCATGCGTGTTTCAAATCTAATCTGATAAATATGGTTGGGTAACACAAGAAAGATTCTTGACTGAAAATAGTGAATGTGAGCTCATTCTTTTGAAGGTAAATTTTAACCTCTCGGCACTTGTAATTTCTTAGCTGGATGTGTAGATGACCATAGAACTGGAATATTGGCTTGCACAATGATAGTTATCTTAATTTTTTTTTGCCAACTTTCATTGCAAAAATTCCAACTTTTATATTTCATATTTCTCTTTGGACCCTACTATATGTTATGTTATGGCAACTAATGCAACGAACGCATGTATGGCTCTTAATATAGGTCTTCACTAAGAAATCCAAGCGACACCGAGACTCTCTTTTTCTTATGGCTGGTATTAATATTGCTTTCAGGCTTCACACATTCAGCATTTGCTTTAGGATATGAGTCAGGGATTAACAAACTGCCTACTGATGGAGAGTTGATCCCACATGGTGCTCTTGTTACTTTTGTCCAGAAAGGTCTTCGTTACATAGAGTTGGAAGCAAATTTGGGTGCTGTAAGTTCATCTGGTTTTGAAAATACAATTCAATAGTTTTTACACTGCAATGACTTTCAATCCTTTTTTTTTAAAGCAATTATCATATGTGCTAGTTTATTTATTTTTTTCTCAGCTATTTGTTTCTTTTTTTTTCAGAATGATCCAGATGGAGATGCTGATTTTTCTTTTTTGCAACCTTCGGACCTTATTACAAAGGGCGTTAATGAATTGCGAGACATCATAAAAGAGAGGAAGGCAAATTTTCAAAATGAGCGGAAGAATGACAAAGAGAAAGCTAAGGATCGAGAATATGGGAATGAAAGAGATAGAGAAGCACCTGAGAAAGAAAAGGAAAACGGAAAAGAGAAGGGTAAAGAAAAAATAGAAACGAATAAAGAACAGGAGACGGATAAGCAAGAAGAGCGTACACATAAGGAATTGCCTAGAGATCGTGAGGATAAAATAAAAAACAGATCTGAAGATGGAGTCTCTAGAGGTGGGGAAAAATGTTGTTTTGGTTTTGTTCTCTACAATGCAACAATTTCAAGTTTTTTTTCCATTTTTGCGTCTATGTGAGTTATGTGGTCATCAGCGATTAAATTAAATGCGATTCGGTGGGTTAGGCCACGGGTAATTCAGTTTAGAGTTTCTTGAAAACATGACGAGGAGAGAGAGAGGATGAGTGTCTTTGCAGATGCATCACTTGGCGTATGTTATGTGCCTGCATTTCCAATGCAGTTTCCTAAATTACGTTTTTATATTTGTGCTGATGAAGAGTCAATGAGAAATACTGATTTGTTCCTTTTCCCTGTTTGCACTTTTTCCTCAAGTTGTGGTTTATCTATTTTTTTTGCACTTTCTTTATCTGAATTATAGTGAGACGTATTATTACTCAATCAGGAAACGTATTGAAGTATTGGTATGATATGTTTTCTAAGTTATTAATTAGATTAGTTGTTAGGATGATATGAATTTTTTTGGAGGTGCCATTTATTTACTCAAAGCAGATGTACTGAAATATATGCACAGCACGTTTGCCAAGCGTTATTATTTTTTATTTCTTATCTATTTAAGTATATTTAACTTTGGGGGGATGTTTTTGGTGATACATTCTCACTTTGTGAAAATTTATGAATTATTCCCTTCCAGAATTTTCAACTTTTTGCGAAGTGTTTCACGGATGATCCATTTAATTGCTAAAAGGCATTTATCCTCCTATCAAGATCACAAAAGCTAGGCAATTAGACTCAGGATGGAAGGCTGCCAACCACATTAGCTGGTCCAAAGGGAGAAATGTCTTGAGTTCGGAAAGTCAAACATTTTTTCAACAATTTAGAGATGCATACCCATCCATATAGATATTTGTGTATTCGGGAAATAAATTAAAAGTTCTTAAAGACTTCTTAACATAGAAGACTACACCCCCTTTTAACGACTTTTAAACTCCCACCTTCTCTTCTTCATCAAACCTCATTGTTGTCAAGGAAATCCCAGCCTTTTCAACAATGTGGATATCAGCCAGAGTAGGCTGGTACTAATTTGCTTTAGACATCTAATAACGGTATCAGTCTTAGTAAATGATAGAAAAATGATATTACTATTCTTGTACTCAATCTAGCTTAAAAGATCCTTATGTTGATGATGTTAAAAATGTGTTCGAGTTACAGATTGTTTTTTCCCCCAAATAAATGATACTTAACTGTAATTTTTAACCCGTACACTAGCTGACAGCTTTCCAACTTGTTGACTTTTTCCTTTTGTTTGAGATCCCAATGCATGCCCTCTTCATGTGATGGAGAAGGTGAAGATTTGTGGGAAATATGCATAGAATATCTTCAGTTCTCATATTAAAAAAATTGCGCTTTGTATCTTGTTGAAATAGAATGGCTTCTTTCTCTTTCTTTTTTCCCAGTTATTGGCCCTGTGAACAACAGTCGTTCTCAGACGTTTGAACTGCCACATATTGGTATGAAGGTGTTGGCTTATGGTCTCTACCCTGTTGCTCCTAATAGTAATATTGGCAGTTTTGTAGAGCTAACTGATGCATTTCCACCTTCTTCTTTATTTTCTTTTGTGGCTGTTTTATTACGTCACGCTTTCAATTCTTGTTCTTACCGTTCCATTTACTCTTTTTCCTCAATTTAAACATTGACATAATCTTTATTTTATAAGAAGACAAGAGTTATCCCATATTATTATTATTATTTTGATAGGCCCGGATTCAATGGAAATCTGTACCAATGCTGTACCTTCGTGTACTGAAGTTCCAAGCTCTGATGTGACCATTTTGGAAGGGCACACATCAGAGGTCAGAAAATTTCACATATTCCTATGATCAAATATTTTTAAAAAATGCCATTTTTTGAATTATTCTTTAAATTATTTCTCATGTTTTCCATATATAGGTTTTCTCATGTGCATGGAGCCCAATAGGTTCTTTTCTGGCTTCCGGGTGGGTATATCTCTGCGGCCTTAGCACGGTGAAAGACACCTATTTTTGGTCTCCTTGGTCTCTTTCTGGGTCTTTTGGTACACGACATTGCAGTTCTTAGATCTGGCTGTGCTTTTGACTTTCACTTTATTTGGTATCTTCTCTCACTGCAATCATTTTTTTGACTCGTTACATTACATGCTTCCTTCTTGTGTACATAATCTTTCCTACTCATTATAATTCTCAAGCCATTTATTGCCACAAGGCACGAATCCTTGCTAACGTTCTCAGTCCAAGTTCCCCTTCTGCCTTCCTCCCTCCCTGTTTATGCGAAGCATTTATTCATTTAGGGAAAAATATGAAACACCAGAACTTGGTTTTTTTTTTTCTTGGGTTTTCATCCCTGACAAATAGTCGAGTAATGAATTAAACCCTTCTCTTATATATATATAGATATATATATATATATATATATATATATATATTACTTTTTAAGTGTGGACTTCTCATACCCAGTTTATGCGAAGCATTTATTCATTTAGGGAAAATAAAACACCAGAATTTTGTTTTTCTTTTTTGGGGTTTTCGTCCCTGACAAATAGTCGATTAATATATTAAACCCTTGTTTTTTATTTTTTTTATTTTTTTAATGTGTGCTTATCTCATGCCCCCTTTCTGTGGGCTCTTTCCTGCATCGTGGAGGGTTAAGTGGGTTCTGGAGGAGTTTTTTTTTTTTTTTTTTTAAATAACTAAAAAACCGAGGAAAAAGTGGGTACTTGTCTGAATGGGAGATGCTTTTCGTCCATGATCTTTCTCCCTCCGTTGTACTCTTTGTGCCAAACAGGTCCGGAGATTCAACGGCTCGGATCTGGACCATCCCACCCGGGCACTGTGGTTCGGCTTCAAGGAACGGACCAACTTTCAACTCGGTGGTCCTGAAACACTTCAAGGGTAGAACTAACGAGAAAAGCAAAGACGTTACTACCCTCGATTGGAATGTGAGTTGTGATGCCCTTTTTTTTAATTATTAATACTATTATTTTCCCTTTTTATAGTGTTAATGGGGAATTATTCACCCGTTGATGCCATCTTTTGATGCCTTTCAGTACGATGGGACGCTACTCGCCACGGGTTCATACGACGGCAATGCCAGAATCTGGAGCAGAGAAGGTGGGGGGGTTCCTTCTTATCAGCTGGTCAACGCACGAAGACTTTTAAGTTATATGATAGATTAGGAAGGTCTTTCTTTTCTCCGTTAGTCAGATGCTTGCTTTCCACTGGCCACCACAGTTGACCGACCCTCTTCTTCTGACCAGGGGAATTGAAGGGCACTCTGACCAGGCACAAGGGACCGATATTCTCCCTGAAATGGAACAGGAAGGGCGACTGCCTGGTGAGCGGGAGCGTCGACAAGACGGCCATCGTGTGGGACGTGAGGAGCGGGGAGCCCAAGCAGCAGTTTGATTTCCACTCCGGTCAAACTCTCCCTCCCCCCCCCGCCCCCCTCTTTCCATTTACGACCTCAGGTGCGCCACATCAGCAGGATGGTTGACTCTGTGTGTGTGTGTGTGTGTTTGTGTGGGACCCACTCTTCTTCCTCTTCAGCCCCAACGCTTGACGTGGACTGGAGGAACAACGTCTCCTTTGCTTCGTGCTCGACGGATAATATGATCTACTACTGCAAGATCGGAGAAACTCGTCCCCTCAAGGCCTTCTCCGGGCACCAGGTTTTAATTCTTCTGAAATTATTATTATTATTATTAAATTTTCAATTTTTAAATAATGTGCGTGTATTTTTTATAATATTGACTTTATTTCCAGGGTGAGGTCAATGCCATCAAGTGGGATCCCACGGGTTGTCTGTTGGCGTCGTGCTCTGACGACATGACTGCCAAGGTGATCTTCTATGGGAGGGTCCGGAGATCGTTTCCCGAATTTTCCGGAAGAGTTTGGGAAAATAGGAAGATTGTTCACCACGTTAATTGATCAATTTTTATTTTATTTTATTTTCAGATTTGGAGTACGAAGCAGGACAAGTATGTTTACGATCTCAAGGACCACCAGAAGGTTTGGCGTTTCTGTCCTCAAGGCCGGTCAAAGGTCCCTAGATCGATTCATCTGTTGGATTATTCTAGAACCAGTTTTTTCGACGCACTTCCCTTTTGTAGGAGATTTACACTATAAGGTGGAGCCCTACTGGCCCCGGCACCAGCAATCCCAATCAGCAGCTGATGCTGGCGAGGTATGCCGATTAACAACCCTCATTCTCCAATCAGTTCCTCGTGTTCGTCGATCACCTCTGTGTCCTCCGTCAACGATTTGGTCAAATATTTGACGAAATCGTGATCAGGATTAGCAGTAACTTGGATGAACACTTACTTCCTGACCATTTTTTAATTTATTCTCATTAGCCTAGGTTGGAACAAGTTGTGATCGAGATTACTTGAAGATCTGGTGTGAACTTCCTCTACTGATCCTGAGGATGGATGATTCAACACCTCTAATTTTATTTTATTTTAGGATTTTTTTTTGCGTGTGTTGGATAGTCAATTTTTTTTCTTCTCATAAAAAATAAAATCGGTACCTTTTTTTTGTAGTAGCATTCATCTGATTAATCTTGTCATCGCGTTTCCGATCATCCAGCGCCTCCTTCGACTCGACTGTAAAGCTGTGGGACGTGGACGTCGGGAAGCTCCTCTGCACCTTGAGCGGCCACAGGTACGATGGATGGATCAACCGATTCTCCCTCTCTCTGTCGTCTTCGTATTGGAGGAGAGGTCTTCTCGATCTGAACGATTCTCTTGCGGGCGGCAGCGCGGCGGTGTACTCCATCTCCTTCAGCCCGAACGGCGAGTTCCTGGCCAGCGGCTCGGTCGACCAGAGCCTCCACGTCTGGTCGCTCAAGGAGGAGCGGATCGTGCGGACCTTCAGCGCCGGCGCCGGCGGGATCTTCGAGGTCTGCTGGAACCGCGACGGCGACAAGATCGCCGCCTCCTTCGCCAACAGCACCGTCTGCGTCCTCGACTTCCGGCTCTGAAACCTCCACCCTCCCCCCGCCGATCCCTTCCTCCTCAGATCTGTCCTCTCGCCGGCGATGCCTTCCTTCGCCTGCGGGGTAGGTCCCTTCCGGCTTCGTTTGTCTCTCATTGTTAGGAAGGGGAACACTTACATCGCTTGCTTACTCACTATCACTCTGTTCTTCCTGTCGATTCTCACTCTCTCTCTCTCTCTCTCTCTCTCTCTCTCTCTCGCTAGCAGAATGAATAATGAAAATATATATTATGGAAAAGAAAATTGCGGGGAAAATAATAAAGGTGAGGATAATATCCAGAGGAAGTGTGGGCATATAAATGCGGCTAGATTTTCAAGGGTGCTGCAATAGTCGGATATTCGGATATTCTCCTTCAGGCCGAGATTGGGCCACGTGGACTAGTTCTATTGGGCCTCTTGTTCTGATTGTAAGCTCGTGCGGGAGGGGGAGAGGAATGCCACGTAGGCGATCATGGAACCCCAAGGCGGCGCAGTGCCGTGCCCTCTGACATTACTGAGATTTGGTATTTTAGGAAAATGTATTAATTTAAATTTAAGTCGTGTTAACAATAAGACGGCGATTGACGGAGACGGGATCGGAACGAGTATCCCCCGTGAATCTTCCCTCTCTCTCTCTCTCTCTCTCTCTCTGTATAATTAACAGTAACGAGTTCCAGATGTACTGATCTGCTCTCATTTCACTACCCTGCGTCGTGTTTGATCTGAAGCTAGGGTTTCTTTGTTGCCTCTGTCTGCCTCTGCGAGATCTCCCGGTCTTTCATCTTGCTACGGTGCGGTGCATGGTGGGATCTCTTTTGTTGAGAATTACGGTGTCTGAGGAGGGAAGGACAGCGGCAAGGGAGATCTTCTGAGGGGAAGGGAGGGGGGAATTGGGACCGGCGAGGATGGGGAGCTCACAGGAGAAGGTGGTGGCTGTGATCATGGTGGGAGGGCCCACCAAAGGTATGCAGTCGATCTCCCTCGGAATTGTAGCCAACTCTTCTCGTTTCCATGTTTGGCTTCGGATCGGGGGGTGATGGTGCTGTTATTGGTGACAGGGACTCGGTTCAGGCCTTTGTCTCTGAATGTGCCGAAGCCACTCTTTCCACTGGCCGGCCAGCCAATGGTTCACCACCCGATCTCCGCTTGCAAGAGGGTACTACTTCCTTCCCCTACTAATGGAGTGTATTTAACACCTTGTCGTGTTCTGATTTGCGTTGTATGTGATCTTTTTGCTGAAGAAAGATTCCGAACCTTGTCCAAATCTATCTCATTGGCTTCTACGAGGAGCGAGAATTTGCTCTCTACGTATCCTCCATCTCCAATGAGCTCAGAGTCCCAGTCCGGTGAGTGGCTTCTGATTTAATCCAGCTTTATGAATTGAAGAATTGAATCATTTTTCTGCATATGATTTGGGGGAATGCGGCACACGAAAGCTCGGTTAATATAATTATGGCTTTATCAACAGTTACTTGAGGGAGGACAAGCCACATGGGTCAGCAGGTGGAATTTACAATTTTAAGGACCGCATAATGGAAGACAGCCCAGTATGAATTCTTTCTCGTGTTTTATGTGTAAAACTGGAAGAAAAGAAACATAGGGTGCCTCAATCTTGGTGATGTTGGCTTAATTTATGTTCAATTGGTTTTGCAGTCTCATATATTTCTGCTGAATTGTGATGTTTGCTGCAGTTTCCCTCTGCCAGATATGCTCGGTGCGTCTTTATTTCTTATGCCATATAATTGTTAGACGCTTTCGTTTCATAAGCCTTTCTTAACATTTTCTGGCCATTTTTACTTCATGCTTTTGCCAGTTTTAATATCATCCCCGTGTTCTTCTCTAAAGTTCATGCAAAGACAACTTATGGATGGATATTTATGCTGATGTTCGTCTGTCTGCTTCAATGAATGGGGTTCAAAGATTTTCATAACTGCACAGATTTCAGAATGAACAACTAGGTCGCCCTGCGTTATTAATTTATTTGTAATTTTTCATTTATTCATTTATATTTTATGTCCAATAAATCATACATACGTTTATTCATTTATACATAATTTTCAAGATTTCAGTTGGTACAGATTCTTGGGAATATCAATTCTCATGATTTAATTGATGACTTTTTTAATTTTAATTTTTTGTTGTCTGTCCTGTTCGATTTCTTTCACCTAATTTAAGCTACTTGTTTAATAGATAAATTTCATACAAAGAAAAAGATAAAGATAAAAAAGAGTAACATCATAATCATTAAAAAAGAAAAATAATGAGTAACGTAAAAATTGAAAACTGAGTTGAAATAGGGGGTTATCTTACCTTCAGCAAATGGAGTCAGAATGTCCATTAGAGGGGAAGGTACCTGCTGATTTGTGTTTGAGATTCCACCACCATTTGAAAGTCTCCCGATTGTCCATTACTTAATCACAGTATATATATCCTACTTTTCTTGCTAAGAAGGAAAATTAATTGAAGGTGGAATAACCTACAGTGGGCCCAGTATATCTTTCCCAACTTTTATCAGTTTCCAAACATGTGCACGTCATGGCCATGAAAATTCATCAGGAACTATTTACCAATGGTTTCCGACTGACCAGTATTTTAACTGTTATTTGATGAGTGCAGTTGCCCACAAGAAGTATGGTGGGATAGGGACAATCCTAGTTAGTAAGGTGAGGGGACATTCGTCACAGAGAGTACCTTTTATGCATTCCGGTAGGTCGACTGTTGTGACACTCCAGGTTTTCAATGTGCATGTATTTTCTCACGTACAGGTATCTGCTGAATCCGCAAGTCAGTTTGGTGAGCTTGTAGCCGATCACATAACAAACGAACTGTTGCACTATACAGAGAAACCTGAGACTTTTGTGAGTACTTTATGATTTATATACGCTTTCCTCCCACATAAAAATTATTACCAGTATATTGATATGTGCTGGATTCGATTCATATTTCCTTTGTTGTTCTTTCAGGTGAGTGATCTAATTAACTGTGGTGTATACATATTTACACCTGATATTTTCGCTGCCATCAGAGATGTATCTGCACAGCGAAAAGATAGAGGTCTGTGTTCTTGACCCGTATTGTCTAAGACTGACAATGTCACGTCTACATTAACCGATTTTTTGGGAATTGAACATCATACTGTATTAGATAAAGTTAAATGTAAGGGGGCCACCTAAAATTTCTGATCTACATATTTATTATGACAGTTCTGAGCACTAATTCATCATAGTATTCATATATTCATACTGTAAACTCTGTTGATACATTTTAAACTAACCTCCCGTCAGTCAACATCTTGATATTGGTTAATGTCACTATTTATTCGTAGGTATCTGTTCTTTTGTGCCTCATATGTCACAAATTAATGTCTTTGTGTACTTCTTTTTGCAGCTAATTTGCGTCGCGTATCCAGTTTCGACTTTGAATCACTCCAATCAGGAACAAAGTATGGAATATGTCTGGTGAACGCCAGTTAATATTTTTATGATTTTGTGTCTACTGGAAGTCGTTTTATGGAAACATTATGATTCCTTGTAAGGAAAACATATCAAATGGGTCATTTGTTTTCATTCGTGTTTTCAGATCGATTCTTTCAACTCATTCAGAGAAAGGAGAAAAACATGAATAAACTTCTCGAAATTACTTTTTTTGAGGAGGCTACATGTCCTGCATTTTGTGGTTGATTTTTAAAATTTTTTTGCCAGTCCTTTTCATATTCAGAATATCATTGAGCCTATTCCAACTTATTAATGAAACTTTAACTGGTGTACAACTCGTGTCATGTGATTAAACAAAAATATAGAAGAAAATATAGGGCAGTTAGAAGCTTTAAGTGAAAGTAGTCCATCAGATAGTAACCGCTGTTGCACAGAATGTAGCCATCGATCCTATTTCTATCTATATGAAGAAGAAATCACTTAAGGAAAGGGATTCTTAGTTGTACAGATATTATCTTTATGAATATACAAGAACCTATCACGCATAATAACCCTAGTATCTCAGATTTTTAGATTCTCATAAAATCTTTTGGAAATATGGACATGGCTTGATCTGATTATTTGTGAATTCTGCGTACGGCCAATATTGATGGTCAGTGCTGCATGTTGTCAATGACCGCTACTTCAGTTGCTGCCCTGTGGAGATCTACAATTTCCCTCTAACTAGTTTGATATCATTATTTACCAAAGTATTACGTTGTTTCCGTATATAGTTTACTTGACATGTGAGACCGATCTTTTGTTGAAAAACCTGATCAGCCTCCATTTCGCTATCCTTCTCTACAGGACCATTCCTTCAGATTTTGTGAGGCTGGACCAAGATATCCTCTCACCTCTAGCTGGGAAGAGACAACTCTATACGTACGAGACTCTGGAATTTTGGGAACAAATCAAGACCCCGGGGTATGCATGGTTTCTTCTTCTTTTTCCATTTCATTCCTAATCTTGGGTGCGGCCAGTGAAAATGACATGGCCCCCGTTATGCCCGACCTTCTCAGGATGTCGCTGAAATGCTCTGGCCTGTACCTCTCCCAGTTCCGGTGCACCTCTCCTCATCTACTAGCTGATGGTGATGGACTGAATTCTCCTACTATTGTTGGTGACGTGTATATTCATCCTTCTGCAAAGGTACACCCCACAGCAAAGGTGAGTCGTCATCCTCCTCAAGAACGTCGGTTGCAATGCCGCCAATAATCTCATGTAATTCGCCAAGAATTTCCACCCATTTTTGGATTTTGATTTATCCTCGCTATTCTTGGATAGCTTAGTTGATGTTTCTTATTATAGAATTTATTCTATTTTATCTGGTTTAATGATAGGGTCTATTGTTATAGTTTCATCACAGAATTAATTAATTTTCAGTGGCCACACTATTCATGATGGCATCCTTTGCCGTATGAAAAATATCAGAAATCATGAAAAGATATTAATGCATTTTTCTTTCTTCTGATTTTGTGATATTTCCGCTTGAAGATGCGCTAAAAACGTTGGCGGTGGAATCTTATATTTCACCACGTGTAGGAATATTTCCTAGTTTTTTTAATAAAAAAAACCCTTCTGCTGATCATCTAGTGACCACATTATTCATAATGGCATCCTTTACCATATGAAAAATATCAGAAATCATGACAACATATAAAGGCTTTTTTTTTTTCTTCTGATTTTGTGATATTTCCGCTTGAAGATGCGCTAAAAACCTTGACGGTGGAATCTTATATTTCACCACTGTTAGGAATATTTCCTAGTTAAAATAAAATAGTAATAATAATAATAATAACCCTTCTGCTGATCATCTTTCTCTTTTTTATTCTTTATTCTTGGTAATTGTAATCCAGATTGGCCCCAACGTCTCCATTTCCGCAAATGCTCATGTAGGAGCTGGTGCAAGGCTCATCAGCTGCATCATATTAGATGACGTTGACATTCGGGTACGCAGGATGCTAACTATTATGGATTCTGGGCGATAATTCTCTGCAAAAAAGTATCATATCACCATTTATTTTTATTTTTCTCATCTTAGGAAAACGCAGTTGTCATCCACTCTATCGTTGGATGGAAGTCCTCCATTGGGAAATGGTCCCGAGTACAGGCAAGACCTTCTTCTCCTCTATCTCCGCTTCATTTTCTTGACTTTTTCTCTTTTTTTTCTTTTTTTGTTAACGGTCATCTGTTCTTGCCATTGCCATTTGTGGAAAATCACGTCGTCAGGTCAAACCTATCTTGACCTGATTGTTTCTGTTAAATATAATCATCAAGGAAGACCTCGGCTATCATGTTTTATGAGGAATTTTCTACCAGATAATATATTATAAATAAATGGAAAAGACCCGATAAATTATAATTATAATGTTGGAGGAGCATCAGATTTATAAGATTCTACTTGGAATGCCGATGAACTGCCTCCTGTTTGTATCCATCAGCATCTTGTCATCTGATCTTGGAACAACTTTTATTTTTCTCATTCGGCGTGTATGTTCATCGGCTCTGCTCATCTCTCAGGGGGAAGGAGACTACAACGCCAAGCTTGGAATTACCATTCTAGGTAAAATCCCTCCCTCTCAATGATGATGATGATGATGATGTATGTGTTCTTGGGTGATTGAGCCCTGAAGATAATGTTCTTTACCCTGTTCAGGGGAGGCGGTGGACGTTGAGGATGAGATCGTGGTGATCAACAGCATAGTTCTTCCCAACAAGACTCTCAACATCAGCGTACAGGAGGAGATCATCCTCTGAGAGGAGACCCCAATTCTTTTGGAGATTCTACTCTCTGATTCCAACCCCCCCACTTTCTTCCCTTTTCCTATTTATAGATATTATTTAGACCAGTCAGCCCCTGATACTGACCCCATCCCTTCTTTCTTCGGGTCTGTTCCTCTCAATAGGGAAATCTGCAGATTAGGGTTCTTGGCCCTCTTCCTTTCCCAAAAAGGGAAAAAAAAAAAATGCCAAAGGGTTTCGTTTTGCTCTGTCGATCCTTTTGCTCCTCTCCTCACGTTTGTGGGTTCCTCGGAAAAAAGAGAGAATTGAAGGCCCTGTGGGTTTGCTCCTTTTACACCTTAAACCCTAAACGTTGGTTTAGGTACGATCGAGAGAGAGACGACGCGGTTGGGGGAAGAGATGTGGGAGAGATGATTATGTTTCATGAGGGAAGGAAAATTAGGCCAGATCTTCTTCGGCCCATGGGTTCGAGAGGATCAACAGTGGGCTAATTAGAATTTTGGGCCCACTTGTCTCAGCCCATGGACCACAGGGGGGGGGAGAGAGAGAGAGAGAGAGAGAGAGAGAGAGAGAGAGATGGGGGTCGGTGGGTATGTTTCATAAAATAGGCCGAAATCTTCTTCGGTCCATGGGCCGACTGATACGGTTTTAAAATATGGGCCACTCGTTATAGTTTTCAAGTGGACCAGATTCATCATCGTCAAAGTTGGCCCACTAGTTACGCCTTTTAAAATATGGCCCGTTCGTTATGATTTTTAAAATGGGCCAGATTCATCATTGTTAAAGTGGGCCCACTCGTCACGGTCTTGAAAATAAATGGGCTATGCAACTTTAATCAAAGTGGGCCAGATTCTTCGTCGTTAAAGTGGGCCTACAGAAGCGTACTAGCACCTAACGGCCTGTCTTACCTACTGGTCTCCTGCTTCCCCCGCCCCTTCGAGTAGCTTCTCTCCCCCCCAGAAAACTAAAAAACTCGTCTCCTTCTTCTCCCCCCGATTCCTCCTCCGCCATGTACCACAGGGGATCACTTACTCCTTACCGGCGGCCGGCGGAAAGGGCATCCTCGGCGGCAGCGGCGGCGGCGGCGGTGTGGATAACTGGCAAGTCCTCTCTCACTCTCTCTCCACTGTCTCAGGTTTCTTCTTGGCCTCACCCATAGGTCCTCTCTCTCCCTCTCTTCACTGATCTTCTGGGTCTCCCACAGTCTCAGGTTTCTTCTTGGTCTCACTCATAAGCGCTCTCTCTCTCTCTCTCTCTCTCTCTCTCTCACTGTCCTTGCGCTTCGGCTGTGACGGCAGTGTCTGTAGGGCTGTGCTTCGGGTACTACGGAACCCAAAGGTTGGCGGTGGGGCCGGGGTCGTCGCGGACGGTGGCGGTGAGCTCGGTGGCGGCCTTCTTTTCCGGGGAGCTCACGGTGAGCGACGCCGCCGGCGGGGTGGCGCTCTTCTACGGATTCGTTGGGCTGCCGGAGCTGAACCTCGTCAAGAACTGGACGACCTCACAGCGTCTCTCGGTCGGATCCTACGGCTCCCGAGTAAGGCTCCGCCGCCATGCTTTTTTCCTCCTTCCCCCACCACCTCACTCCCCTCTCTCTCTCGCTCTGGCTTTCCTCCTTTCCTTCCGTCTTTCAAGATCTTACATAAGAGAGAGAGAAGAGGAAGGGGTTATGGGTGAGACAAACAGTAGGAACCTAGGCCATTAGAGGAGGAGAGAGAGAGGACTTGCGGGTGAGATCCAGTAGGAACCTGGGTCACTAGGGGAGAGAGAGAGGGCTTACGGGTGAGATCCAGTAGGAACCTGGGCCATTAGGGGGGGGGGGGAGAAGAGGAGAGAGAGGGCTTATGGGTGAGATCCAGTAGGAGGAACCTGTGCCATTTGGGGAGGGGGAGAGAGAGGAGAGAGAGGACTTACGGGTGAAATCCAGTAGGAACCTGTGCCATTTGGGGAGGGGGAGAGAGAGAGAGGACATACTGGTGAGATCCAATAGGAACCTGGGCCATTAGAGGAGGGGAGAGAGAGAGAGCGAGAGTGAGAGAGAGACAGGGAGAGAGGACTTACCGGTGAGATCCAGTAGGAACCGGGGCCATTAGGGGAGGGGGAGAGAGAGGGCTTACGGGTGAGATCCAGTAGGAACCTGGCCCGCTAGGGGGGGTGAGAGAGAGCGAGAGAGAGAGAGACATGGGCCTAGCCCAATAAGCAATCAAGCGGGCCGAATATGTCACATTAGGGGGGTGGGGAAGAGAGAGAGAGAGAGAGAACAGCCACGTAATAAGCAAGGTGCGCCTCCGTAGTATTTTATAAACTAAATGGGCTCGGCCCTTCCTTCAAAAATAAAGCCTATATTTGATTAATTAGTATCATAAATTATAAATATAAATTATATATTTACTGATTATTTGAGAAACCCTCGCAGGGGTTCTCTCTGTGGCTGAACCGGGGCTCCTCCATCAAGCTGACGTGGGCCGTCTCCGGCGCCGCCCCCGAGGACGTGAACATCGTCGTTCTCAGAGGTCAAAGCCGTCCCTTTTAAGTCAACATTGAGGATAAATCTTTAGATATATATTATATTAAATTAAAAAGAGATAATTAGATCTTCCAGATCTTCAGGAGAGAGTAAGAGCGAGCTGCTGGGGGCGTACCCGACAAGGGTCAACGCCTCGGGATTGAACTACGGTCAGTCAACCGCTTTCTTCTTCTTCTTCTTCTTCTACTTCTTTTTGTTGGAGAGTTGGAGGAGATGGATGAAGGTTTCTTCTTGGTGGGTGGGTGGGGCAGGCGGGGAGGCGGCGATGGACGTGAAGGAGGACGACAGCTACTACATCGGCGCCGCCAACGGGGGCCGCCACCCGGCAGCATTGACTGTTGCGGCGGAGGTCTCCTCGACGGTGCACGACGTGACGCCGGCGGCCTCCACCTGCACCACTACCGCCGGCGGCCGCTGCAAGATGAAGCTCCTCCTCGGCAGGGCCCAGTACGCCGTGCTAGACTCTCCGGCCGCCGCCGTAAACGTACCTTTCTCTCTCTCTCTCTCTCTCTCTCTCTCTCTCTCTCTCTCTTCGCTGAACCAGGTTTCTACGCTCTCTCTCTCTCATGCTCTCTCTCTCTCTCTTCTGGCGTCTGTGATTTAAGGTGTCGAGCGGGTCGTGGAGCGTGGAGCTATCCTACGAGATCCGTCTGGCGGCGTACATGGGGATCTTAGGTGAGAGCTCCCCCCCGCAACCCTCTCCCTCCGTCTCCGGCGACCTTCCCGGCGGCGGCCCTGATGGAACCTGAGAACCCCGCCGGCAGGCACCCTCTCGGTGGCGCTCTGGCTCATCGTACGCTACCTCCACGCCTGCGGCGAGGAGTGGACGGCGCCGGCACCAGCGGCGGAGGCCGGCGGCGAGACGGAGCCCTTGACGGCGGCGAAGGCGGCGCCGCCGCCGCTCTCCTACGGGGCGATGGAGGAGGGGACGTCGGATTCCGCCGGGCGGAGCTCGTCGGAGGACCTCTACGACGGGAAGATCTGCGTCATCTGCTACGACGTGCAGCGCGACTGCTTCTTCACCCCCTGCGGCCACTCCGTCACCTGCTACCCCTGCGCCAAGAGGTACCCACCTAGGAGCCGTCGCCGGCGCCGGAGACGATGACGACCAAGTCTCACTCGCCGTCGCCGGCGTGGGGTTTTGTTCTGCTGCAGGATAATGGAGGAGGAGGAGGGGAGGGCATGCCCCATTTGCAGGAGGCTCATTCACAAGGCGAGAAGGCTGCCGCATTACTGAGGGAAAGAACGGCGGCGATTCGTCGAGCACCGGAGGTTTTTCCACTCGATTTTTCTAGGCACTGGAAAGAGGGTTTGGTTCATTATTTTTTGTCCAAATTAATTATCGGAAAGATCTTCCATTCTCATCTCGTTTTTTTTTTTTTGGAACAATCCGTGAGAGGGAAGATGCTGCGAAATAATAAATGATTAATTAATTGCCACATAAATCAAATAAGACAGCGCCTTTTGCCTTTATTTTCCCAATTAATTATCCAGAAAATCTTAATTTTCATCACACTTTTTTACCTTTCTAGAAACAATCCACGAGAGGGCAAATTCAGTGAAATATAGTAAACGATTAATTCATAGCCACATAAATCAAATAAGGCAGCGCCTTCTGCTCATTATTTTCCTAATTAATTATCCGAAAAATCTTCATTTTCATCACATAATTTTACCTTTTTGGAAACAATCCATAAGGGGGAAAATGCTGTGAAATAAAAATGGAAAGATTAATTAACAACCACATGAATCAAATACAACCTTCTTTTTTCTTTTTTTTCTTTTTTTCTTTTTACAAAAATATCCGCAAGAAATGGAAAAACGAGGAGAAAAAAAAAACCTTGAACCATTAAAGTCACTGAGTTTTAGAGGCATTCTGAAACCACTATAATCTTGGGCATGCTACCAATCAAGTCATCTGATACAAAAGCTAGAAACGACATCATGCAGCAGGTGAAGCACGAAGGCCACCGACTGAAGCATCATCCTCATCATCTAGAACAAAGTCTCTAAACATGAAGGATAAAACATGCCAAAGTACACATTTACCTAGAGAGAGAGAGAGAGAGGGGCAGCGTCAAAATCTTCCGTCAGATCACAAGTAGCTGATTGAAGGTGCCCAGTTCCATTCGGCCTAGAGTCTGCAGAGGGAAGAAGCTCTGGGCTTTTCCTCTCATTTCATGAAGTGGGGATTAAGCAGCCCTGAGATCTCGAGAAATCCAACACGGTCTCGGCCACCAAAGATGCGCTTCAACTTGTCATCACAGATGATGATCTTCTTGTTCTCCGTATCCTGCATGGTAAGAAAAAAAATCAGGTTGAATACCATGCTTTCTTAAAACGTACGTTCATGAAAACCAGAATTAATCTCAAGAAAGAGTTCAGTATTATATAGCTTGGAAGAAAATCCATGTTAGTTCACATAGAAGCTAAAAATAGAAGCACCTAGGCGGACAATCCGGTAATTACTACAAATTTACGTACCATTTTTGACAACAATATCCAATGATGGAAACAATTATAGGTTGGATATCACTGCCGGGTGTCAGGTATGCGATAATAACATCAAAATTAAGCATCATGTTTAATGAAAATTCACATGGATAATTGTCTCTAAAACATGTCTTTTTTCTGCACAGGCCTGACGCAAGAGTTTGATCTCAACTTTGAATTGATCACATCGCAAAGGGGGTCGAAATTAAGCATTTAAACGGCACCTCATGATTGATCTGAGGTGATTTTCCGGGTTTATATAACTTCGAAGATAATGGATAACAGTTCATTTAAGAGATAAAATTAGAAGCACCCAAGAAAATAATGCGTTAATAGCGTTAAAGATGCACAAGTAAATTAAGGCATAGTTTCCACAAAATCCAAGTTAATCCTACACCCCGAATAATGAGAATACACCTGCATGAAAAAAATATCTGCATCTTCTCTCTCTGAGCGTGAAATAATGCCCTTTCTCAGCATCCAAAAGTAAGATAAATTCTATATTTAATAAAAAATGGGTAAAGACTATGGAGTGCGAGGAGAGAGAGAATTATTAGTGTTAAAATAGAGCAATCAAAGTTTGGAAAAAAGGCTCCGACTAGGTTTGCCCGTAGAAACCTTAAAATAATCGAGCGATTCTTGGAAACCAATCCAGCGGAAATGGTCGCTTGGTAAATTTTATGTAGCCACCATCTAGCAGAGCTTTCGGCCTAATACGGCTGACAGATCAGGCTACCAAGTCTACTAATTTTATCATGAAAAAATATTAAAGAAGGACCAACAAGCTAAACCCTGTCATCGCGATAAATACAAACCAATGTATGAAATATTATGGTAATGAAGACAAGCACAAGATGCCATCAACATGATCAAGAGGAAGCATTTATTCGATTCCTGAACGATAATATATATTTTGAAGTAGTCGGTCAGCGTGGAGGAAATACAAACACGTGCAAATAGATAAACACATACTAAAACAAATGCGCAAGCAGCGTCCACTACTAACTAACAAATAGCGACAAAACATCAGATACTAAATTTATTGGTAATATATTCAGCCCTGAACCTAAAAAAACTTAATGGCGCTCCGAAAAGCCTATAAGAATGAAGGGATTAAGTAAAAGAGGCAGCAGATATTTCAGTCCAAACGGTGGTCCGACCAGGGTAAAGATACGAACGACCAAGTTCGGGAAACCAGAGAGGAGATAGGGTTTAAGATAGGAGGAATCATCGGGGGAAGAAAACGATACCTGGAGATTGTGCTGCTTGATGTAAGCCCAAATCTGCTTGAGCGCCTGTGTGCGCGGTATCTCAGAAACTCCCAGCAGTTCCTGCATTGCCTGGGAGATTGGCCTGGGCTGGGATATCCCCCTCGGCTTCCCCTTCCCCTTGGGGACCTCCGTGGACACGGACTTCGATGCATCGCACATAGCGAGAACTCCCCTCCTCGGAAGAGAAATAGCAAAGGGAGAAGATCCTGTGATGCTCTGCGGAGCCCGGACAGCCAGAGCAGGGGAAGCAGAGTAGCCGCTGAGGAGCGATGAAGCCGCGGCCATAGCTTCGGTGGAGCGGCGGTGGAAGGTGGTGGCGATGGCGCGGGAAGAAATTGAGGGGAAAGTAAGAAAACCTGCAACAGAGTGAGATAGAATGCTCTTTCGAGACGTATATTTACGTCTTTTGAGATGTTTCGTATTTGCAAACAGGCCCTCCAGATTATAGTATCTATATTTCGTATATTCACGGAGTGTCATGTGGGCCCCGGAACCCGTGAGAAACCGGTTAAGGATAAAACTTTTTTTAAATAGGAGAGAAATCCATACGGGCTGTCCGAGTCCGAGGAGAAACTCTGTTTTCGCATCGTTCGGATAAAAGGTACTGCGGAACATTTTACCGCGTTTTGAGGTTGTGCTGTATCTATCGGACGGGTCCCACAACTGTTGGTTCAGGATAAGCTTTGTACCAAAAAGAAACCCATACGGGCTCCCGAGTCTTGGGGGGGAACTCTGTTTCCCCATCTTTGCATAAAAGGTACCGCGGTACATTTTACCGCATTGTGAAGTGCGGGGCATCGGATGGGTCCCAAAAACTGTCGGTGCAGGATAAGATTTTTCAAAATAAAAGCGAAATCCATATGGGCTGCCCAAGTTTGGGGGGAAAACTTCGTTTGCGCATCCTTGTCATAAGGTACTGCGGAATATTTTACCGCCTCTCTCTCTCTCTCTCTCTCTCTCTCTCTCCCTCTCTCTGTGTTCTTATTCCTGATCCGCCGGCGTGGCTGAGAGGCACTTCCATTCTTCGGGTCGGTGGGGACAGAGGAGCTCTGCGAGGGGGAGAATGGTGCTCACGAACTTCACTGGCACCGGCGTCGGCCTCGGTATGGGCATGAAGCGAATCCGCTGGAAGCTGCTTCGACGAACTCCTCATTTGTTGCAATTCTCGGCTAATTGGCCCTTCTTCATTGTGTGCTACGCTCAGGTTTCGGCGTCGGCTGTGGTTTCGGCGTAGGATGGGGTTTCGGAGGTCTCTGTTCATCCCCTTCCTCTAATCCTTGTTCGTATATCATATCCTGCTTCCTCGGCTCTGACCACAATGCTCAACTCTCTCCTGAAGGCTCGCACTCTGATTTTTGCTTTCTCTTTATTGAAAAATAACAAAACTACTTATCAAGCCTTGTTGTCCTCTCTTGGAGACTATACCCTAAGATCACCTCAAGAGATCTTGTCCGAGTCATCACCTAATGCAAATGAGATTGTAGGCTCCCTGTAATTGCTTCTCTTCTCAGTTGGTGTTTATCGAATTGCTTAAACAAGGATCAGAATGGTGTGGACGAGAGTAGTCCTTTCGTCAGATCTTAGTATCTCTGTACTCAGTTACCTGGCTCGTGTGTTTAAGCTCCAGTCCATAGTCTTCTCTTTTTTTTTTCTTTCATGTTTGCTAAATTTTTCATGGTTTCTCCACATTTCTCATGAAATTGTGAAAAATATATCTGCATTGTCTCTTGCAATCCGCTGACGCAGAGTTTCTTGTGCTAACATATTTGAATTTTTCCATGTTTAAAAAGCTAATCGAGTTCAACAGGAGGAAAGTAAAGCATCCAGATACAGTTGGAATAATCTTTCATTTTTGGCTCTTTCAACAAGGTTGCATTTCTATATGCTGAACAGACCTTTGGAATCCCTTTTCTTTAGTTTTTTATCCTTTTCTGGAGACTCTGAAACTCACGAAGGGAAGAGAAATGGAGGATAGAACCGATTCTTAGTGGGCGTTCCAGTCCTTTTATGCTCTCAACTTGGATGTAAGCGAGTGGCAACCCGGAAGGGAAAGCTATATTATTGAACTGGTCTTCGATCCATTGCTTGTTGATTCGAGGGGCACAGAAGAGTAAGGTTGACTGGTCCACAAATCTATCTTATCTTACGGACTATTCTTTGTGAATTCCTGCGTGGAAGTTTGCAGAACTCCTCCTGTGTTTACTTAGCGAAAATAGGGTTTTTACTGGGTTTGGTCAAATGCGAGCAAATGTAGATAATCCTGAGCTAATTTTTTATTGCGGTCTCGTTGCTGTGGTGTAAGATAATTATAATTATCGCTCATAGTTCTATTTAATTATTCTAATAAGTTATTTCTAACTATGTGGAAATAATTATGGATCATCCTTGGTTAATTTAGTGAAACTCGGAGTCGGAATGTTGTGGTAAAGTTGTATGTGCGCAATGACTGAAAGAGGAATCAGGAGACTGTACCGAAACGCTTCCTTTTTTCTTTTTTTCTTTTTTTCTGTCTGTCTTTTCGCTAATATCTAGATTGAGCATTTCTGCAATTACTTCCAATTCATGTTTCGGGTATTGAATTGAAGTACAGGAAACGGTGTGCCTTCTTGTCCCTCCATGATCGCCAATTGCTCTCTTTTTTTTTTTTCCTTTTTTGGGAGTTCCTCTCCAGGGACCTCCATAACATCACCTTTATCCTTAGCTTTTGGTGGAAGGGATGATCTTGGGGCTGAGTTTCCCTTCTTTGTGTAGTCTAAGAATGGGAATATATGGATTACCTGAATAGACCTTGGTACCCAGTGTAGTACCCAAGAATTCATAAATTTTCCTTCTTATGTTTTGTGGAAGATGTGGTTCTTGCTGCCAGCAGCTGACTGCTCTTCCTCGTGTTCCAGGAATGCCTCTTCAAACCCTTGGTCTGGGAGCAGGTATGATGAAATCATGTTTCTTTGATAATCCCTCTGCTGTAGATTTCTTATAACTCTCTCTCTCTCTCTCTCTCTCTCTCTCTCACTCACTCATCAACTGAAGGTGGAGGCTGTGGAGTGGGGTTCGGCCTCGGATGGGGGTTCGGCAATGCATTCGGCAGTCAGTACCAGACTTCCAATGTTAGATTTCAGGGTATGGAATTCAGTAAAAGAGAGACTGAAAGTTCTTCTGAAGATCCATCGGACTTCAAGACATCTTCTGATGTGGATCCCATCTCAAAATAGTCACTGGGTCCGTCACTTACACAAGAAAACCCTAATTTTTCCAAGAATTATGTGGTTTGATCGGATCATTCTTCTTGACGGCGTGTTCTTCCTCCCTGTGCCGACACTTCTTCCTCCTGGATCAGCCCCCAGACTGGAAGACTGCTTGATATGTATGGATTTTCTTACCGAGTATGGAAGGTGAGATGGAGCTCTCTCATGTGATCCTCAGCATCATGGTTGAGCATGATATTGGTGTTCTAGATTAATATGCTTTTTTTATTTCCTCTCGACTACCATTTAAATATTTTTTATATTTTTTTCCCCGCTTGCTACATATTTTGGCATCATTATGGCAAATCCAGAGTGGCCTGGCTCAACTGTACATAGACTTAATTTCCTAACCCAATAAAAAAAATGTTGACTTTTTATAATATCCTGAGTTGGATATAATAATGTTGACTTTTGTATACAAAATTGAAAATTTTTAAATAAATACAGAAAATTCTGGATGCCACGACCGATTAAGTTGGGCTCGGCCCATTTAGTGTTATGGGCTTGGGTCTAAAAGAGCAGGTTTGGAGGACGATATCGGCCCATCTGAGTGTGTAGTTGGGACTGTGGGACCCGTGTGGGCCCAAAAATTTACTATAATTAAAAAAATTATTTAGGCGATTTTGTTCGACGAAGTATAATGGAAATTTTGAATTAATAAAATAATAATTTTAAAATAAATAAAAATAGTAGTCGTTTAAGAACGACTCCGTTAGGAGTCGAGAACGATCGACCCCATGGGGAATCGATTCCTATTAAATCTTACAAGAACGAAGCGTTCCCAAACGGAGCCGGGCAGAATCGCTGAAATTGGTGGCATATACATAATAATAAACTGTTAATGTCTTTAAAGTGAATCAAAATAGGGATGTAGGAGCAAATAAACTTGCCACAGTTGTTTTTTGTCTTGAACCCCCCAAAGATTCAAATTGTGGTCTATTAGGGACCTCGGCAACGGCTATCTTTCGAGAAAGGCTCCCTCAGCGCCACCAGATCCCGGATTTCACAGAGCTCGTACCGGGTAACCGTGGATTGATCTATCCTCCTCTTCTAAAAGGTTCGCGCTGAATCCTGGTGTACATTCGGCTTAGGGCAGTGGCGAGATCGGAGAGCATGGAGTTGGATTGCTGCGACTCAAAGTCAGATGGAACGAGAGCCGAGGAGCCCGCCGCTGTTGTTGAGAGTGAATCTCGTGAATTCGCGTCCGAATCTCCAGATTCTGTTTCGGAAAATAAGCCCAGGAAGGTGAGATTTCCTGATGCTAGCGTTGGACGTCTCTTTTTCTTGGAGTACGGTGGCTGTTGATATCCTGATCATTAGGTTTTTCCGTATTCTGTGATCGATATTTTTAAAGTATTATTGATTCTTATTTCGGTCTCCTAAATGGGGGAATTTTATGCTCGAATTCAATTTGACGTTTGGAATCGATCTTCATGATCTGTAATTCTAACACTGGATCCTAATATAATATTAGCCTTGGATTTGGCTCCAATTCGTTCATCTCCAGCGCTGGTCTATTCGGAAGGAACGGAGTGCGCTGCTTATTTCATAGGACTGCATGCCTTTCGGCCTTTAGGTGGTCACCACCTAAAGGCAATTCGAAGCTATCTTTTTCTTTGTTTTTTACGAAGAAACAATTCGACGTTTTTTACTTCTTGAAGTTATCAAAACAGTTTCCACCTGCTGAGACTTCTGAGAGAGTTCTTTACAGAAAGTTCATGAAAACTGGAACTAGGATCACCACATAATGCGGCCAATTTTACCTGGCTTTAACCTTCCTTTTGGATCTCCGTCATTTGTCTGGTCTATTTGTTGGGGTTCCACAGAAAAATCTCAAATGTGGGCGCGTATCAGTTAAAATGCAAAAGTTACGAATAATTTAACTTTTTTCGTAAATGATAATTCCTCTCTAACAATGAATTGGTGGGTATACGATGATTTATGAAAATTTAAATTTCTGAAAGCTTTCAAATTATTCAATCGTTTACATAGGAATATATGTCCTCCATGACTGGGGATCTAAGTAAAAAACCTACTTGCTGGCTGGTAACATTTTTTTGGGTCATCTACCTAGGATTTCGTATCCCAGTGACAGTCATCCACCATCTTCACTATTTTAAGACATCTTTGGGCATTAGTCTCTTCCAACGTCATTATATGCAAGGATCCTGATGAATATAACTTTCTCACGCCTTATTGGATTAGAGCATGATCTCGTTTTCGGTCCATTGCACTTTTCCAGACTGTTCACGAAAGGCATTTTGGCTGGAATGCATGTGCAATCGTTAGATCTTAGTAATACTGTTGAATGCATCTATTGATTATAATCCCAAGTGTAGGGGCTTCTATGATAGACCTATTCAAGCCTTATACTTTCCTCTTAGTTATTTATGTTGGGAAGATAAATGAGGGGAAGGACTCAAGAGCTAGCCACTGTCTCTGACAGAATTGTCACCTATGTGTGATAGTTATTAGCAATTTTTTATGTTGTTATTGCCAGTTTTCTTTATTTCTCATCTCCTCTGTATAGATTACCTGGAAAACAGCAGTGTGAAAACACAGAAGATGTCTAGAATGAGCTCAAGTCTTTTGAATACTAACACTAACTCACACTAGAACACTTTCATTTGGGAAAAAAAGGTTCTGCTAAACTGTGGAAAGCTTAATACTTTCATTTGGGATTTTTTTTTAAGCAGAACGGAAGAGCAAAAGTCGGTCACCCCCTGCTGAGTTCTGTCAACAAATCTACATCGCATATTCGAAAACCTCCTCACAGACGCAGTTCTTCTCCACTTAACTGGTTTCCTCGAAAGAAGACAGATTCATTCCTGAAGAGGAAGATACAGCTTCTTCAGGTATCACTTTCCACTCTATTCACAGATATCCTAAAGAGTTCTGCTCATTTCACGCATCTTAACTTTCGTTGAATATTTCTTTTTTGCGCAGGAAATGGAAGGCATGAACTCGTCACTTGATGAAACTCTCGGTAGTGCTAATCCTCACTATACGAGGATAGCGAGAGAAAAAATTGCAGCTCAAGAAGCGGCAAAGAAGGCTATGAAGGCTCGTAAGGCTGCAATGATTGAAGCTTCCTGGTGTCGAATCCTTCATGCATCCAGGTCTTCTTCTTCTTCTTCTTCTTCTTCTTCTCCATCTTTGGTGAACCATAATTACATTGAATTTTTTAACTATATATATATATATATATTTTCCCCCTTAACAGGATCCACAGCAAAGAAGCAGAAGTGAAACTGGAGAAAGCAGAGAAAGATGTAGCGGAAGCTTTGGAGGCGGCGGCAGCAATGGGTGTGATGATGTACGATAGGCCTGATTGTCCTCGGAGATCATGTGAGATAGAAACATCTTCTGTTATTGGCGGAGTATCCACCCACACAGTCACTGCTTCCTTTGAGACTGCATTTGAGGTGGATAAGGAGGTTGCTGCTGCGGTCAAACATGCATTCATACGCCTGGCGAATTGCTCATCCTCTTCTAACAAGGACGAATTCAGAGAGCTTATTCATAAAATCAGTGAGAACCCGGATGAAACCGAGACCGATCAATCATCTGAGGCTCCTTTGAAGCACAAACTGGAACCAATAGCTGACCCTGAAGATCTCGGTTTCAATGGTGCAATGAGCAAACCTGAAAGTATATCAAAGCAAGCAAGCCGCCAGAGGCTGTCCCCTTCAGACTCTCTCAAGCACTCTGGGTCGCCGCAGAATCTCGTCGACATGATGTTTAATCGCCTCAAGTATCTGTCAGAAGATGAGATTGCTTCTCTTGCTGTCATAGTTGCCACTTGTGGTCTGAATGCCGCTCTTCTGAAAATGGAAAACAGCAAAACTAGTGAAGAGAACTTCCAGGAGCAGATACCCTTGCCAAGAGATCAAGCGAAGAGATGTTGCTCCAGTGTGTCAAACTTTATGGATGGATATATTAAAAGAAAAAAACCAGAGGCTGAGCTACCCAGTCTGGACAAGTTCCTGGTGAAGCATGTCTCGAGGCTTGAGAAGGAGGTCCAAGAGGCCAAGATGTCAAAGAAGACAGCTGAAGTGGCTAAAAACCAGATTCCAGAAACTGGTTTGACTCATCCGGATCTGGGGAGCATCCTAGTGAAGCATGTGTCGAGGCTTGAAAGAGACATCCAATCATTCAAGAACTCCTCCAAGAACAACTCGCTGGTTGGAAATGGGGAAGGCCAAAAGATATCTGGGCAGCCGAGAGCAGAGTTAGATGAGAAAGAAAATGTGGATATGAACAGAGTGGAGAGAGAGAGAATAGGAACTTTGGAGGGAGATGAAGCTGATGTGACGCATAGAAGCAGCCTAAGAGCCAAGAACATATCTTCAGAAGGCTTAGATAAGGTCCTCGTTAAGCATATTACCAGGCCTGAAAGAGAAAAAATAGCATCCCTTGCTAAAGAAGAGGGGGTCTCAACCGCAAGGAGGAGGGAGCAGCCAGAATTGTGCACTGAGAGCCTTGACCAAATCTTAGTCGACCATCGATCTGAGCTTGAAACGGTTGACATGGGAGCTCTCCAGGGTCGAAGCTTACATGGGGTGGAAGTCAACGGGATAAAGGATCAGCAGCAGGAGATTCCCAGTGAGAGCTTGGATCAGATCTTGACCAAGCATCAATCCATGCTCGATAACACCAAGCTGCAAGCTGCTGCAGATATTGAGGAGACCCGCACCAAGGGTCTGGATCAGATCTTGGTCAAGCATCAATCTAAGCTCGAGAAGGCCAAATTGGCTGCCAAGCAAGATTGGTCATTTCCCACAATGATAAAGTCAAACAGGGATCATAACTCGGAAGTGGGCCCCAGTCTGGATCAGATCCTGGTCAAGCACCAATCTAAGGTTGAGAAGGCTAAGTTGGCTGCCGACCAAGATTGGTCATTTCCCACTATGACAAAGTCAAACAAGGATCAGAACTCGGAGGTGGGCCCCAGTCTGGATCAGACCCTGGTCAAGCATCAATTTAAAAATGAGAATGCGAAGTCATCAACCATCCAAAAGTCACCTGATCAGGTCAAACCCGTGAACACTTGGCGGAAGGTGAGGGACCAGAAGCTGCAGGAAGCATGGGGAGGTTTGAGCTTGGGAAATTCACTCAAGCCCCACCTGTCAAGACTCGAGAGGGAGAAGGTGAGGAGTTTCCACCTTGAAAACTTCTTCTGCCCCTCATTTTATTTTTCCAGTTGACTTTAGCATTTGACCGTGACACAATTCTCACTCTGGCCTTTGGTCTCCCTTCTTCCTTCCTGGTTGCAGGCTGCTTGGAAGAGGGCAGAAGAGGAGGAGCTGAGGAGGGCAAGAGCACTCTAAGAAACTACCAACTTCTCCTTTCTTTGACTACGTTTGACTTCAGACTGTTCCTTAGATCATTACTACCTAACTATTCACTTCCACTATGGGTTGAAGTGCTTGTCACTATAAAAAAGAATAGAAAAAGGGAGCTACCTTTATCTACTTCTATGAATAAATAAATGGTATTGGCTCTAATTTCTGTGGAATAAATCCGTAAACTCCTCTCTCTCTCTCTCTCTCTCTCTCTCTCTCTCTCTCTCTCTCTCTCTCTCTCTACCAACCTACCTACCTACCTACCTAATTTATTTATCCATTAATCTTTCTGTACATCTATAGAATTCATTCGAGAATTCTAATTGAGGGAATCTAGATCCACCCCCACCGCAAAACCTAGAGAGAGAGAGAGAGAGAGAGAGAGAGATGCGGTCACAAGCTGATTGCTATCGAGAACCAACCCCATCGAAGGGCACACGAAAAAACTGATTCCCAGGACCACGAGAAAAAACTGGACAAGACGCCAAAGCTTACGGGTAAAATTAAGTAATAAAAAAGAAAAACCCCAACAAGCGAAACGAGGAACACGAGATAGCCACGTGTCCACAAAAGTTTTGAAGTCAATTCACACAAAGACCATCATCATCACACTAGAGTAATAAAAACCAGAGTGCTCCAAATCAACGGCCACGATGTTATTCGAAGAACCAGATCGTCGTCTCTTCATCAACTGACGCGGCCCTCACTGGGTGCGGTTCCTGCTGTTATCTGCAGCCCTTACTTGGGAGAAGTACGGATGAGCCTGCGCACGAAAAATATAAATAAGGAACATCAAGATCCTTAAACAAAACGGCTCCTCTCTCTCTCTCTCTCTCTCTCTCTCTCTCTCTCTCTCTCTCTCTCTCTCTCTCTATATATATATATATACATATTTATTTATTTATTTACTTACCATCGCTTCCCGTGCAGTGAGCCTGTCCTGATGATCATAGCGGAGAAGCTTGTCCAGAAAGTCTAGCGCCTGCATAGATAGGGTGGGGGCCCATTTAAAAAACACATTAAGTATTTTATACAGGAAAATAAATCTCGGACTTTATCTAATTGCTTGGTCAATAAACCAATTCCGAACTCATCAGTGAGATTATACAAGAAACCCAAGTGCCTATTGTCCGCATTCAAGATAAATAAAATAGAAGCATTTTTTTGGTTTTTTTTAATAGCCGACATTGAAGGATGCGCAGCCGAGGTCTTTAATGGCCTTTTTAGAAGAAAGTCAACACCCGCTGGAGAAACAAAGGGCTGATGAGTCTTCGTCAACTAAATAGCATACGGGCTTATGGTCCCATTTTTCAAAACTTAATTTCTTTTTAAAAAAAAAGGAACTGTCCTAATTATCAATGAAGAAACCCATGGAGAGATCTTCAAGAGAGAGAGAGAGAGAGAGAGAGGGACTACGACCTCTGTAGAGACCAAGTGCTGATTGTCTCCATTGATGAACTTGGCCCATGGCTTCCGACTGTGCCTGCAGAATAAATAAATAAATATATATATATATAGCGTTATATATATGAATCCACCATAGAAAATGAGCTTTCAGGGGGGGTAACCAGGATGGCTCCATCGATGCGTACCTCCCAACAAGGGCCTCAAGCTGGGGTTCGAGCTCTAGGAGGTACTTGTTTAAATAAGAATTCAGCTCATCTGTTCCAAGCACCTGGAGGAATCATAAATACGTGTGCCCACTTTCACTAAATTTAGGCCATAATATTAATTAATTGCCTTCATTGCCATATAAACAGAAAAAAAAACTTTTTAATTTTATCCATATAGTTTTTGCCATCATGAACGAGACATTATAGAAATCCATACAAAGGTGCAATCTTTTATTCCCAAATAGGGAAATTCGGGTCAATATTGGAACTGAGAATTAGCATTTGAAAGATGTTGAAGGCTTGAAAGAGCAATTTTCGGAGATATTTAGAACTTGCTTTTTAGCCAGCATATAATCCATAAACACGAGCGAGCATGTTATACGCTGTAAATCATTTAAACATTAAAGAAGCATTAATAATCACTGGTAAAATCATCTGTAAATCTCTAAAGAAAGGCGAAATAAATGAGGTACCAATGACACGAAATAAAATGAGGGCAAGACAAACGGTTACCTTGGCGATTTTAACAAGCTGGTCTTGGTTGTCGTGGCCATAGAAAAAAGGTTCCTTGCGGAATATCTGCAAATTATGATCATAGTTCACAAAAAACGTCACAATATTATAAGCAGAAAAAAGAATAAATTCAGGCAAGAACAATTTCTCTCACAATGGATGAGAAAAAAAGGCACTTACCATGCCAGCAAACATGCAACCGAGGCTCCACATATCAAGAGAATAGTCGTAGTCTTGCAAATCAACTAGGAGCTCTGGTCCTTTGAAGTACCTGTTAACAATGGGGGAGGGGGGTTGTGGTAAGCCGGCAATATGAGATAAAGCCACACAGATCTGGGTGCTCGTACCTTGAAGCCACACGAACGTTATATTCCTTTCCAGGGTGATAGAATTCAGCGAGGCCCCAGTCTATCAACCGTAGTTTGCGCATTTCATGATCTATCATAACATTGTGAGGTTTGACATCCCGATGCATTATTCCTTGGGAATGGCAGTAATCTAGTGCCTGCAATTGCCAGTGTTATCTTAGTATCAAAAGAATCAAACTCCAGAAATCACAAGGGGCCCTGATTTACGTCATTGAATTAGTCTGATGTCTGGTCAGCTACAAAAGGATAAACAGGGAAAACAGGATGCGAGTTGGACAAGAAACAAATGGTCACAAGTTTGCCCTGAGCTCTTGTAGAGATCATTCTTTGAACATAAGGTTTTTGCTGTGTTCGAGTCTTGAGACACTTCACAGGAGAAAAATTCTACAGAATAGAACTAACAGTGGGCAACTGCGAGCCAGAAACAGTTCCGCATGGTTCAGGGAGCCAGCTCAATACACGAAAGTTGGATTAGAAAAAGCCAAACACAGAATGTTAAATTAATGTTAAACTAACAGCTGGATTAGTTTGCCCGAGAAGAAAATTGATTGTAAAAATAAAGAATCGTTCATGGAAGAAATTAATGTTAAATTAAGGTATCAGCATGTAATGTTAAATCAGGGATAAATGTGATATAAAAAGCAAATCATATCGCCTGGAGAATGCATGTTGTAAAGTTATTAACTACTATTGTTTCGTCTGGAGAAAAGAATGGCAACTTTCGTTTATTAAATTGAAATCCAAAAAAAAACTGCGAAATGAAAATGTAGGGAGGTTCACAATTCATAGGCAGATCAGCCTAACGTATAATGAGGACCAAACACTGCCTACCTATTCAACAGAAAGTAAAACAATGCCCAATCGAGAAAAAACCCCCCCAAGGACTCCATGCTTATGAGTTCAATCAATACACGACCATTTACACGATCATTGATATTAGTAATATATTAATATGCAACACCTCAGATGTATAAATTAATCCTAGTTTACCAAAAAATGTACGTCATTGAAAGAAAGTAGGTTGAGAGAAACCTTGAGAAGTTCGTAAATGTAGTAGCGGATGTCATAGTCAGTCAGCGTGGGATACAGAACTTTGAAATCTGTACTGTTAACATATTCAAAGATAAGGCTGGGAGTTTTTGAGTGCTGATCTCTAACAATGTCCAGCAGCTTCACTATGTTTGGGCCTCCACAAAGATTCTGGAGAATTTTTATTTCCCTCTTTATCTGCATAAGTCCACAATGAAGGAGATCAATTTCGTATAACTAAATGTAAAAACCAAATTAAAAAAAAGCTTGTTTTAATTCTGTTCCAACAAATGTCTCGAATGCGTATCATGTATATGAAAAAGCTGTTAAGAAGGTTTATCATGCCAACACAAAAATACACTGAATAAAAAAAGCCCTCATCACAGAGGTCTGGCTTCTGTTAAATAAACTCCACAGATCAATTTGACACGAATTGAGAACTATCTTTGAGAGAAGATTTCCGCAAATACTTCCTCTCTTTGCCTGTTAACCTCCCCTCTTCAGAACCTTCAAATTGAGTCTAAGAGAACCATTCTGGAATCAATGTATTATCACAATGGATTCGTTCAAAGAAACACAATTTCCAATAATTTTGTTAATTTTTTTCAATTTCATCTAATAAACATAGCAGATTCGCATCAATAAAATCCATCTCTAGTGTTGCAAGGTACCTTAAAATTCAAAACGAAAATTGAACGTACAGAATACGAGGGCATGAGTTATGCAAGAAAAATGACGAATACAGATAGCCAGATGGTTGAGGAAGACAAGAAATCCTACATTGTCGTGAAAGTTTTGCAAACCATTCGTGCTGTGAAGAAGAAGCTTTTTGCCACTCAGAATGGAACTTATAATTTTTACTTTAATGAGAAATAAGCATTTCATTTAATGCTGATGCAATGGTAAAAAAGTCAGCATAGCTAGGCATGTCATTATTTTATCCCGCTGTAATTGGTCATCAATACAAAATGAGACATTATGAATTTTTCAAGGAAAAATTCAATTTTAGGCACAACAATTTCATGCAGTATAATCTTTTCTGCAGCGTCACCAAAACTCTTGAAACCTCTGGTATCAAAAGCACGGACGGAAAATTGGCCGATCCAATCAGAATTGGCCCAACCGTCTCACAGGATGTTGTGGGGACAAAGTACAATGAATGTCTGATTAAAAGGAAAATATTATTCCACAAGCATACGTGAAATAATAGATAACAAGCAAAAATAGAGAAACGAGAAGAGTAAAGATCAAAGTAGAGGGGTTTTTGGGATCCATAATATGGATGTTATCCAGAAGTTATTTCCATGATTAAACAATGAAACCTGTCTATCACAGTAATATGCATATCTTGTAATATGGAACTTGATATAAAACCTGAGATATGAAACATTTTTTCTCCATTGTGACAGAATTATTGTTATTAGGTCATTGAACAGTCTTAGACCCTCTCTTTCCTGGAGAGGAGAATGACTCTGGGTGTAGACCTTACCCTCACCCTGCTGTCTAATTGACTAATCACACTTTAAAAGTACATGGTAGCATTCTTTAGCTTTTACTTTCATGGTGAAATCAACAAAACCCTCATGTAAGCTACTTGCACAACTGAGCATTCCAAGGTAATTTATAAACCCAGTTGACAACCTTGATACCAAAAGGTACCAGCAGGAAAGGAGAGAAAATAATCCAGATACCTACCAACAAAATATTTTGTGAAGGAAATTAGCTCATAGATTATTATACATTACTAGAAAATTGTAAAAACCTAAAATGAAAGAAACTTGCGATATGTATTTAGATATCTCAGTACCTTCTTCTTCTTAACAGGTTTGAGGATCTTTATAATGCAACGTTCATTATTGGGCACATTTATCCCTTCAAAGACTTCGCTATATTTTCCTCTGCCAACTTTTCTGACAACCTCATAATCATCCTGGTCACTGCATGTAAAGACCGAAAAACAATTAGATAACGATAAATGCCTAACGATGTTTTTTTTACGTGACTAAATCTAGAGTATGTTTCTTCTAACAAGATAAGATTATAGTAGCGAAATAATGTTCTCCCAAAGCACCATAGAATGTTTCCTATGTTGTGTAGATTCTCTTCTGCCTATTAAAGCAGTGGTGTAATCATCTGAAAAGAAAGGACGATGCGAAATAGAATTTCTCATGTTCCATAGATTTATCATGCTATGGAGGTGACTTGTCTCATCAGACTCATGCTTCGGTTAATCCAATATCAACGGGATATTCGTGTCATCCAACTCAAAACTAATCGACCATGGGTGGAGCAGGGTTTTCTTTCTAATTGCAGATTTATTTTTACAATAATCAAGAAAAGATTATTCTTAACGCGCATACTCACGTGTGGATCAACATTTAAGATTTATCACGCATATGACATCAACGGGATGCATTGATGCTCTTGGCTACGATACCGAGTTAGAGTTCTTGGGCCATCCAACTCAAAACTAATGAGTCATAAGTGTAGTAGACTCATCTTTATCACCAGCTCGACAAGTCAACTAACATAAATTTTCATAGCATGTCTCCAGCGAAAACATTATTTGATCTTGTACTTCTATAGTTAACAAAAAAAAAAAAAAAAACAGAATCTAAACCAATCACCATCCAATCCATTAGCGAGAAAATGCAACCAAGTGTCAGCGCCAACACCATCAGAACATATGCAAAAATTCAGTGGCACGCAAAACGCAGGAGCCCACATCCCAGAAAAACCCAATACTCAAACATAAGTGTTCCGATCCCAAAAACCACCCCACCTGACCACCTCTCCCAAACACCCTACATACGCCTTTGGATAAAAATCACTTTGTCACAAAGAGACAGGCTAAGCCAAAAAAATCACTTAAAGAAAACACGGTAAAGAAATCACTTTGAGGCTTGCGGACATAAGATGCGAAAAAATCCATCACGGATGATGTAAACGGTAAAGAAGTGTGCATAGAAATCAGAGATAAATCACTTAAAGAAAACATTTTGCAACAGAGACTTCTCCGCGAAACATGAAAAAAACAACCAAAAAGGTCATCAGCCTTCATAGGGTTTATTTTATGTGTTCTTTTCCATATCATGCGCTTGTAACATGAAGAAAATCTACACTCTGTCGCGAATTCGCGAGTCACTGGATGCAGAAAAAGGGAGATATCTCTTTATTAGTTTTCGCAGAGACACGAAGGGTATCGCAAAGAAAACCAGCCGAAAAGACAGAATCATGTTTCACAGACTATGGAGTTACAGCGTGACCGAACCCTCGATAGGTCATCATCCGTAGTTCCGAACACCACCTCTCAGGCAACGGAGAAAAGAAAAAACGGGCAGACACAGAAATACCGCGGCTGCTCGGATCAAGAATTAGGGCTAGTCAATCCACGGCTATTTACCCCCACTGGACGGTGAGCGACTCGTAATCCCAATACTCCTTAGGGCGGAGCACGTTGACGTCGGAATAAACTCGCGCCTTCGACATGGCAACTGGCCGGCTCTGGAGCACCAACGAACGCCGAATATACTTCCGCTCTGGTATCACACTGGTTCCCACCGGAGTATGAGCCGTAGGGAGGCGGCGCAAGCGGGGAGAGGGCGGACAACCCACCAAGAACCAACCTATAAGCAACCGGCGGCAGTGGAGCAGAGTCGCATCTCCACGATCATAGCTCCCTCACCTCACCACCGCCTATTCCTCCTCCCCAGGGAGATGGCCCCTCCCCGTTTGCCCGGATTCCTCCTCAGGGCCCCGCCCCTCCTCCGACCGCCTCCGGTGGCGAAGGAGATTCGAATGCCTGAAATTATCGACCCGATCGACCAATGAGGAAGAGGGCAACGGGACAGTTAGTTCCGCCGTCCAGTTTTATATTATAATTATTTAGAATGTGACCCACATAATTCATTCGATTACTGACAAGTACCTTTATAAAATAAATAGTTAAAAAACCCTACTCCAATTGTTTGGGTTAAAAACTCGGGACTGGCTATTTTTCTTATGGGCTTGATTTTTTTAGGCCCAAAACAGGAAAAAGAATATGTGCCTATGGGCGAAATTCCTATTGGGCTGGAGTGTCTAGCTTACGGGCCGGGCCTCAAACCAAGTAGAGAAGAAAATCCCAGCCGGCCCACACAGCCAATCACAAGGCATATCCTCTCTCTCTCTCTCTTTCTCTCTCTCGCTCAGATGGGGGGATTTAGTGGGCCGGGCCAAGCTGGTAGGACCGGACCGTTCTTATCTTTGAAGCCCTACAACTTTAACTCCGAACATTTTTCGAGAATAAAAATCTACTTGCTTCGAAAGGCGTGGGCGTCACGTGTATTTTTGCATGGTCTTCCACATGTCTTCCCGCCAGGAGACCAGTACATAGCGGAAACCTGAAACTGGTGTGTGGGAACATCTCAGTTGTTGGCCACTGTCTGAGTCGCTCTGAGCTGCAGGATTTACATGCGCATCAAAACGCATCAGTTTTAGGACTTAATTTAGTTGCTATTATTGGGTCATCGTGTAATGAACGGCTGGGATCAAATCTTATTTTGCCCTGAAACGGTATTTGAAGCTGAGCAGGGCCGCCACCGTTCTCTCCCTTCCCTTCTCGCCGGAGCACCGCTGAGTCGCCGGCGAAACAGAGGGCGGCGGCTGAGGAGGAAGATGAGTACCAGACAAGCGCGCCGTCTCATGTGCTACCTCGGGAGGTCCTGCTGGGGCTCCAGCGCCGCAGGATTGGATCGCCGGAACCACCTGAGCCGGTACCAGCACCATGTCTACCACGAGCAGCAATCTAGGTCATTCGTTCGGACGAGGGGGGCCCTTTCGAAGCCCAAAGAGGTCCCCACACGGTTCTCTGACGCACCTTCCATCTCCATCCCTCCGGCCGTGGATGCTGGCGCAGCTGCCGGCCCTTCCGTCGCTGGGAAGAGAGGATTAATGAGTTGGTACCTTGGCATGCTTGACGCCCGGCCCGTACTCACCAAGAGCATCACTGCGGGGCTTATATTTACTTTGGCTGATCTCTCAGCGCAGGTACTCAGCCAGTTGGTTCCCTTCGTTTAGATGTCTGATTTGTATAATCTTTGACTGGTATCGGCAGCTGTTGAAGAAGAAGTATGCTAGGATCTTGGAGGGTATTTTATTTTTATCAAATTCTTTGTCATTTATTTTCGAGAATTTTACCAGAGAGCTTACCAATTTTCTGTCTTGGAATGTGTGGTAGAATTGGTACCAATTTGGTGTTCATGGGGTGACTAACACACCTCTCGTTTTATCTCATCTTTTTTTGTTGATCTGAAGAAATTTATCTTTTTAGTGTCAATGGATCAACTTAAAATAATTTTCCTTTTGCAGTCTTTCTTGTAATACTTCCACTGTCTTCATTACAGTTCCGCATGTCGCAGAAAAGACGAGCCAACCCAATGAATTAGAGAAAACGTCCTAGAATTAAAGCTTAAAGCGGCATTGTCCTAGAAATCGTGTTATTTTCATCAGAACAAGCAATAGGATATTGAACATGCTCAGGTTTATGGCCTATTAATATCCTTCAGTGCCCCCTCCTCCTTGAAAGTAGCTCGCCCAAAACTTGTCAGAAGATGAACCCTCTTGTACAGAGGTTTGTCTTTGTTTTCAGTTATTCGTTTAACGTCACTTCCCAGACATAGAGAACTTTACCGATCGTTCTAATTTTAATGTTATTTATGCATTATTAGATAAGCGAGGAGAAACATGTTAGATTTTGTCAATTCTAGCCATTTTTTAAGATCTTGAACTTCATTTCGTCATTAATCCGCGGATTACAGAAGAGAATACGCCTTGTCCACAGTCACACCCTTATCCGGCTTTCTTTTACCCTGAGATGCAGGCTGTGTGCTGGGACCTGTTGTCATATTCTTACAGTAGGTACCCTGATGACGTTTTATGAACTTGTTTCCTCTTTGAGGAATGTTCAACGTCGTTCATTTTGTAGCAATAAATATTATTTTGCCGTGTCACTAGAACTGTTAAAAGCAAAGAGAAAAACAAAGAGTTCTTTAGAGCTATACAGAATTTTGTGTTGGAGTGGTGTCAGGTGCGCGCTGTGCCCTTTAGCAGTATTTTTCTCTGTCGTTTTTTATCATTTGGCTTCTATTATACTCTGGTTTTGTAGCTTTATGATCTGAAACGCGGGGAAAGGTGTTGATATCTTTATCTTCTTATGTTAATAATCATTCATAGAAAAGAAGCAAATTTTTTTCATCGCTCGTCTATTCCACTTAATCTTACAGACGTCCGATTCTTTTCTGCATCTATTTATCAGACAATCACGGCGCCTTCGGATTCTTTTGACCTGATAAGAACATCGCGAATGGCTGGCTATGGAATGCTCATCTCTGGACCGTCACTTCATTTGTGGTTCAACTTCCTATCGAGGATTCTGCCCAAAAGGGATGTCATCAACACCCTAAAGAAAATTGTTTTGGGGCAAGCTGTTTATGGGCCTATCATCTGTACAGTTTTCTTCTCTGTGAATGCCGCTCTACAAGGTGCCTAAGCATTCCTAGAAAGAGTTTATGGTTGTTTTATTGTTTCTTTACAGTTTTCTAGAAAGAGCTTACTGTTATTATATTGTTTTATTTTAATCAGTAACCAAAAATATCTGACAAATAGTGTGCAGAAATATGTGTAGCCCTTTTATGATCTGTGTATTTTTCATCATTTTTTGCTAATCTGACTGAAGTTGAGGAACTATGTATACACCTATTATGACTGTCAGTTTTAGAAGTTTAAAACGTGTGTTTCCAATGTATCAGAATTTATGGTTTTTCCCGTTATTTTTCATAATAATTAAATGAAAAATGGCGCCTGCAATTCGCTGAATAAATAATATTTTTATTTTATGATTCAAGCCTTGTATATTTTTATTGCAGAGCAGTGATAGGACACAGCTAGTTAGCTACATTTATTTATTTATTTGGCTTGAAACTCCATTTTCTCTTCTGATAAATTTGCACGATGAATTGTTGAGAATTTTTTTCAGAAAAGTTTGTAAAATCTGATTTATTAATTTTTCTTGCACATGAGCTCCTGAACATTTCTGGTTAACCGCAGGTGAGACTGCCTCGGAAATCCTTTCCAGGCTGAAGAGAGACCTGCCGCCTACGATCCTTAATGGGCTTGCGTACTGGCCCATGTGCGATTTCATCATATTCAGATTTGTTCCTGTCCGTCTGCAGGTAATATGCATTTATGATATCCTTACTCGTTATTTTAGCATTTTTTTCAAAAAATATTTATGTTTATGATAATATTTTTAAAATGTTAAATTCCCCTTTTTAGTAGGGGACCCTTTTATTTAAGAACCTTTTGAAGCATTTGTTCTTCTCTTTTTCCTCAGCCGTTGGTGAGCAATTCCTTCGCATTTATATGGACCATTTACATCACGTACATGGCGAGCTTAGGCAGGGCCGGTGCGGTGGGGAGTGCGGCCGCCTGACACGTCATCGATAAGCGGAGCCCCATGTCGAGCTGGCACCGCCACCTGTAAACGCAGGTCTGATTTTCCTCGCATTAAAAAGGCTTCTGATATTACGGGTCCAGGGCCAACTGGGACAAGTGGGCCCCATCCTGTTGTCATTCTTAATTTAGTGTAATTTTTAGAATTTAAAATGTAATTATTTCTATATTTTTATTACTTTCAAAATGTAATTTTCGCGTTGAAAACCCACAGCTCAGACGTAGTCACCTTGGCGCGGGTTATCTGGGCCTACTTTTGGGCTGGCCCATGGTCTATCGGCTACGTTCCACGAGTCCGGCCCAGCTGCCTTCGTCGTGGTCAGAATACGGCGGCTCCCTGGTGGGCCCAAAAAGATTAGGCCCACTTTATATCTTCTTTTATTTTTCTGAATCTATTAATTGGGGTGAAACCAATAAAACAGCGAAAGCTTAGCTCTGTCTCTCTCTCCTCCCTCCCACCCTCCATCTCTCTCTCTCTGCCCCTCTCTATCAGCAGCTTCAAAGAGGAGCGAGTGACTGAGAACAAGGGAGATATCGGCAGCTACAGGGCGGCGGCGAGAGCGAGTGACTGAGGAAATTGGAGATGTCAGCAGCCACAGAGAGACGGAAAAGACAGTGATTCCGGAGATTGGCGACAGCTTCTTCTCTCTCTCTCTATCTCTCTCTCTCTCTCTCTCTCTCTCTCTTCCTAGAGCGGGACGAATGGCGGAGACAGGGGGGCCTAGGAGGTGGCCGCCTCTCTCTCCCTTCCTAGAGCGGGACGAACGGCGGAGACAGAGGGGCGGGGGGTTGGGTCCCAGCTGAGGGGAATAAAGACGACAAGACGAAGGAGAAGGACAGACAAGAATGAGGAAGATCCTCTGAAGCTCACTTGTGTGGCTTACCTTCCGCTTTCATCCTCTCCGCTCCCTCATCCATCCCCATCCCCCCTCTTCTCTTCATCTCCCGCGACGCCGAAGCTTCCGGACTGAAGATCGGAGAGCAGGAGCAGCAGCGGGAGGAGGAGGAGGAGAATGGGGGAGTTCGACGGAGCGCTCTCGCAGCCGTCGGCCGCCGTCTCCTCCAAGAAGAAACAGCTCCTGTCCGCCGCCATGAAGAGGACCAGCGAATGGTCCGTCCTCCGCCCTAGAATTACTCCCTCCGCCAGTGAGGATCATGTTGTTTTCGTCGTTGTTCTTCATCTTCTTCTGATCTGAACTCCGATTGTGTTTGTTGCAGGATCTTCTCCCAGGAGATCCCCAGCGATATCACGGTTCGTGCCGGCGGAGCCACCTTCTCTCTGCACAAGGTGATGATTGGAAACAAACAAACAGATCGTGATCCGGTTTGAGCGGATGTACCGATGGACTTCTCCTCTTCTTCCCGAACGGATTTGATCTTTACTGGATCGATCGATCGCGAGAAGTTTTCTCTGTTCTGAAGATCGCACGGAAACGAATCGTGAATTCGATTTCTGTGGACGAAACGATGCGTTAGGGTTTTGAAATCAATCCTGAATTCTGATTTCTGCAGTTCCCGCTGGTCTCCAAATGCGGGCTGATTAGGAAGATGGTCTCGGAGGCTAACGATGCGGACCTCTCCCTCCTCGACCTTCCCGACGTCCCCGGCGGCGCCGAGGCCTTCGAACTTGTGGCGAAGTTCTGCTATGGCATCAACTTCGAGGTCACCATTGAGAGCATCGCCATGCTCCGCTGCGCGGCGGAGCACCTGGAGATGACGGAGGACTACGCCGCCGGCAACCTGGTCAGCAGGGCGGAGGACTACCTCAACGAGGCGGCGCTGACCAGCCTGCCCAGCGCCGTCGAGGTGCTCCGCCATGCGCAGGGTCTCCTTCCGGCGGCGGAGAAGGTGAACCTCGTCGGCAGGTGCGTGGACGCGGTGGCGCTCCTGGCCAGCGAGGAGGGGGAGTTCGAGCATGTCGCGAGCTCACCGGCGGCGGCGCCGCCGCCCAGTGGGGTGGTGGACTGGTGGGCGGAGGAGCTGACGGTGCTCAGAGTGGACATCTTCAAGAGGGTTGTCATGGCGATCAAACGCAGAGGCTCTGAAAAGTACGCCGTCGGGCCTCTGCTCATGCTCTACGCTCAGAAGTCCCTGCGAGGTCTGGTAAGCCATCGTCTGCCCTATTTTCTATATTACAACAGGGAACGACCTCAAATGAATCTCCCGTCCCGTCCCCAGGACATATTCGGAATGGGGAAGAAGAAGATCGAGCCCAAGAAGGAGCACGAGAAGAGGGTGATCCTGGAGACCATAGTCAGCCTCCTGCCGAGGGAGAGGAACGCCATGTCCGTGAGCTTCCTGGCCACGCTGCTTCGAGCGGCGATCTACCTGGAGACGACGGTGGCCTGCAGGCTCGACCTCGAGAGGAGGATCTCCTCGCAGCTCGAGCAGGCCGTCCTCGACGACCTCCTCATCCCCTCCTTCTCCTTCGCCGGCGACGCCGCCTTCGACGTCGACACCGTGCAGAGGATCCTCGTCAACTACCTGGAAGCCGACGCCGCCGGCGACGACGACGACGACGGCGGCGCCGCCGCCGCCGCCTCCCAGATCGGCGGCCTCATGGAGGCCTACCTTGCAGAGGTGGCCGCCGACGGCAACCTGAGCGTCCCCAGGTTCATCAGCTTTGCAGAGCTCATCCCGGAGGCGGCGAGGGCCACCGAGGACGGCATGTACAGAGCCATCGACATCTTCCTCAAGGCCCACCCCGCCATGACCGACGCAGAGAGGAAGAAGGTCTGCGGGGTGATGGACTGCCAGAAGCTCTCCCGCGAGGCCTGCGCCCACGCCGCACAGAACAGCCGCCTCCCCGTCCAGATCGTCGTCCAGGTCCTCTACTACGAGCAGCAGCGCCTCCGGGAGGGCGGCGGCACCGCCACCGGCGGAAACTCCCCGGCGCTGCCGTCCTCCCTCCGGGCGGCGGCACCCGACGAGCTTTCCCGCCTCCGCCGGGAGAACGAGGGCCTCAAGCTCGAGGTCGTCAAGCTAAAGATGCAGCTCCGGGAGGCCCAGAAGCCAGCTCCGGCGGCGGCGGCGCCGCCACCGCCGCCGCAACCGCCCTCCATTCCCTCCGCCGGGAAGCCGCCACTACCGAAGAAGTCGATCGTCAACTCAGTCTCCAAGAAGCTGGGGAAGCTGAACCCCTTCGTCCGCCCCGAGTGGGTGCGCCTGTCGCCGGGGAGGACGAGGACGAAGCCGCCGAAAGATCGCCGCCACTCCGTCTCCTGAAGCGCCGCCGGTAAGGACCGAGGACCCCTTCCTCCCTGTAAGTCTCAAAGCCCACCGCCAAGCTTCTGTGCATATATTATACAAACGATTACAACCCCCCCGCCCCTCCCTTTTTTTCTTCCTGCCTGTTCGTCCAATAAACGGGTCAAACACCCAGGTTTTTTCGATCATTTTGTTCAAATATCCCCCCACCTTCAAATACACCATTATCTCTTTCGGCATCCCATTATGAGTATTATAATAATTCTTATCAAATATTTCTTACAAGGGAAAACACTCGTTTTAGCCGTAAGAAACACTCGTTTCTTATGTGTACTTCATTAACCCGTAAGAGGGATGAGAGAGAGAGAGAGAGAGAGAGAGAGAGAGAGAGATTTCCATAACGTTTTAGCCCTTTTGATTTGCCATAAATGGTTTATAACGCTGAGAAAATTCTCGTATCATTGCCTGAAATAAGTTACAGGTGAGAGGGGCTTAGAAGAACCACTCTTGACAATAAGTCAGCGATCACATTTCTTGGGCAATGTTCCACGTAATAATAATCCTCGATAAAAAATTAAAAAAGAAGAAAAATACCATGTTGCCCACGCGTGCATGAGCAAACAACATACCAGCACAAGGTTCAAGCTTCTGACTTTTACCGCCCTATTCACCATGTTTTAGTTTACTAAACGGGGAACTCTCTGTTGACTAATTGTCATGGTGACGTGGCACGAGCTATTTATGGATAAAAGTGGTTCAAAAACATCAGCACGTTGCCATGTCAGGCTCTACAAGGGGGGTCAACGTGCCGTAATTACGTTGCAATGTCCCTCTCGTCATAGTAAAGTCAACCACGTTATAGGAAAGTTAACTATCGGCTAAAAGTGAGCTCCCTGCCGATCTGCGAATAAGAAGTTGTAAGAATTTCGCGTGGGTTATTTACGAAGCAATGCTCAAGGTTTCTACTCCCACGTGCCGTTTCTCAGGTAAGCCCATCACTGGGCCCAACCAGTTAATCTCAATCATTATGTGAAGGCCCACAATGTCAAGGCCTCTTAGGAGGCAAGTGATGGGATCAGATTAGCCCAAAGCCCATCACGGCCCGGGGCAATCCGGGTCCTCATTGGGCCCGGAGTCATATAATATAAATCAGTCCCGAAAAAAGCCCACGTTTGATGGGCCGAAAAAAGCCCGAATAGTTGACTTTAGGGAACGCGTGAGATCCTATGGGGATCTTCGAGCCCCCAATAAAATAAATAAAATAAAAAATAATCAACGGATCGTTTCTTGAAAGGTGTCCTGAGTTATCGCCTTACGGTTCCCGGATCAGATAATTAAACGGATACGAATATGTTATGGTATCCGTTAACAGGGCAAACCGAGAGGAAAGAAAAAGGGGCGGCCTTATCCACCACCGGCGGATAGGATAACGCCGGCTGGGTGGTGTGTCCGGAGGCGACAAACTCATATGATAAAGTCACCTCATCACAGCTTCACATACACGCCATTCTGTGGTCCACTACCTCTCCGGAACCCCCCCACCCTCGTCTTGCTGAAGGAGATAGCGTAGTAGGGAATATACACGGGGTAAAAATATCAATGCTAATTATTACACTACCCCTCGGAGATCTTTCTTTTCCGATAGACCCCTCGTACGGATTTATTTATTTATTTTATTGCTGACGTGGATGCGGATAAGACGGTGCCCTTGGCCGGTGGGGATCACCGTTGGGACCCCATCGTACTGTTTTCCGTCTCTGGTCTCTTTTACAAACCTGGCTACAAAGCTACTTATTCGGGAACGCTAAACATCCAATGATAAAAAAACACGTCCTATTAAGGACATATACCATCCACTTGGCAGTTTTTTATTAGTGTTTTCAATAAAAATATTGGGTATCAGGAGGGGCATTCGTGCCACGTCATCACGTCCCTCCCTACAAAGGACCTTCTCCAGTGCGCCTTCTTCCTCTTCCGTCTTCTTTGTTTCTGATCTTCCTCGGCGGCAGGTTTTTCGAAACCGGCGAACCGTTTGCCGGCGGCGGTGGCGCCGGCGGGAGATCGGCGGTGCTTGGTTGACCTTCGGGGGTTGCTCATCTTGTCGGTGCAGACGTGAAACTCCGGGGGTTCAGTGGTCTTCGCCTTATCCTGGTTGGTCCGCAGTTTCCTGTGATAAGGTGGACGTGGCCGCCCGCAGCATTGTCTGGCTTGGATCGCGTGGATCTGGGGGCCGGAGGAAGGGGAGAGAGTATGGGGAACGCGAGCGGGAAGGAGGGCGGCGAGATCGGAAACGGCGATCCGTCTGTGAGATCTGAAGGTGATGCCCGGGGCAGCCGTGACAACAAATGTCGTGTCAGTTCGGTGGAGTCGATGGGGAACACGCCACCGGGAAGTCCTGGACGTTCGCGATCTCCGCTTTTGTTTGCTCCACAGGTAAAGGTTGATATGATGCTTTGATGGGGGTAATGCCCGCTGCGCAATTTTCTCGGAGCCGTGTTGTCACCTGTTTGCCGTTATTCCTGGATTATATTTTCTCTGGTTATGGAATCCGATCAGTTTATTGAATAGGTGTTATGCTAATCATTAACCACGTTTCCTATCTGTGTCAAAATTTGATCGAGTCTTAGTTTCTTGATATTTTGTATTTATTACGGCGTCGCGCACGGGATCGTAACCGCATTATTTATTAGTCTCCTTTCGCTGCGTGCGTTCTTGTTCCTCTGATTAGTGAACTAAATCCCTTTCATTTTCGGAGCTGGGATTATGATAGTTCTTTTTGGGCGTCGTGAAATTGTATGTTTTTTGAAACAATATGATTTAACACTATGATGATGTAGGATGATAGAAGTTTTGGTACCTCGAAAAGCATGGGTTATGCGATCGACCATATTATAAAATGATATTCTATAAAAAATAAAAAATAAAAATCCTGCGCTGTACCCTGCATATTCTTATTAGTAAACAGCAAACAACTTGGAGAGATGTGGATAGGTTTGTGAGCAGGCTCTTGAAAGGAAGAGATCTGTGGGGGCATAGTTGTGTTGCTCGTGAAATTCAAATTTACAACATGTTCAGTGTTATTCCTAGGTTCAACAAGAAAACAACCCCTTCTCGTTCTCTAAGGTGAAAGCCTTCACACCCGAGTTGGATGCTTCTGGCCGAGCATTGTTTCAAACGTGGAGGAGTCAAAACCAAAGAGAACCAGCTATGAAAGCAAAGAAAAATAGTGAAAAAAAGATACCGACAGCCCGGAATTATGGGATGCGCTTCTGAATATATTATTTGCTTCTCTACTTTCAATAACCTTATCATCAGTTTTTCCACATCTTTCTTGTAAAAGTTTCCATTAAGGTGGATGCATCTGATTACCATTTTTAAGTACGAAAGCCTATATGATTTCTAAGTTCAATGAGCGGCTATCTTTCTTTCAGATTTTCCGCCTAGATTTTTCTTTCCCTTTTGTACGTTGGGTAAATATATTAATTGGCTAATAACCCTATGATTTGAAATACTCAACCTTTGAAAGTGCAGTCCTATTCGAAGGCTCTTGCCATTTTTAGGGCCAATGACACATAAAAGTCACATCTACTTTACTTCATGGCATTTATGGATATAGTTCTGCTTGAGCTCTGGCAATGTCTTCTAACTAACATTGCTCGCTGCATCTTGATGCTTGTTTAAAGCCAAGGTGGATGTACGTTTCTCATTGAGCCGATGGTTGCCTCAGTTCTGGGCATGGGCATGTAGATTCGTTATACTGTCACGCCATTACAAATTCAGTTTTGTTTCTTAGGTGGTCATAACTGCTCGTTCTATTTCTCATATTCTTTCCTGTGAGGCTTCAAGGCCCAATGTCCACGTATTTTCGGGTTATATAAGGTCCCTTGACTCGCCCCAATTATACTTGGTCATAATTTTTCAACTGCATTCTTTGTTTCAAAGTCAAATACTCTTCATCTATGATCAATTGTTGGATCTTGCATCGTGTGATTCTCCTAAAAGCCTTTAATCCCTTGTCAATATAGTATGAGACGGTCTGTCATTTCATGATGCCCCTCATAGTCTTCTTTATCCATTCACCAATCCATACCCGACTGGGTGTTTATAAGGTAAATCTGTGCCTACAGTGCAGTATAATTATAGAATGTATTTTGATCTGGTAAAGAGGAAAAACGAGGAAGCAAAAACCCACCCCAAGTTATTGCTCAGAAGTCAACCTCCTGTACCTGTTGCCAACCAAGTCAACCTTGCCACTATCAGCCATCCCTTTAGGATGCTGTGGTTGTTGATGGGCAGCCACGTCCTCTGCTATCGACAGATTGGCAACCCATCAGAGCTTCTGCTCGTTCTGGTTCACCAACAACCAGAAACATGGTTGTATTCTGGTTCTGGGGAGGGTACATCGTATCATTTTTATACAAATTCTTGCATCATTTTTGTCTTCTTCTCCTTGATGACACTACTACCCGGGACTCTACCTGAACCTTTATTCAAGTTCAGCTACATGAACCTTAATAACATGCAATGTTGACCATGTGCTTTTTTATGTAATGTCCATAACATAATAAAAATGCTCAGATTTGAGGTCAAATTTTGCCAAGGTCAGATCCTTTCTTTTTTGAGCCTGATTCTGTGCAGTACCACCTTCCTATTGCTTCTTCACGTTCTGGATTGCTGCATCATGAACTTGGAAACACAGTCCTACAACGCGTAGATTTCGATCCTTTAATCCTTCAATTTTACCAGTTCACTCCCATACAGTGGATAGGGCTTATGATTATCATGATGATCTCGCTAAATTATATTTTAACTTATGAAATTGTCCTTGAACCACCACCTTGAGCTGCGAGAGTATCTCCGAAAAATCTGATGGATGAGGTAACCTTTTTACACGAGCAATTTAGTCATATGCAATTTATTTCCAAAGATAGGTATCAATAGATGGAAAGCGAGTTCACGTAACCATGAGGATCTCTGTGAAAGAAGAGTTATCGTTCGTCGAAAGGTTCTCTCCTTTCCAATTCAGTTGTTGGGTAATGGCGTCCTGCTCGATTCTATGGAAATTATGCGAGTTCATCGGAGATTTAATTTCTTATCCATGTTTCTAGATTGCGTTACCTCAGCTTTTCTGCCATGCTTGCTTGTCATTTATTTTTTGTTTCATTTAAAACCCATAGTAATCCCATAGTAAATCTGAAGATTTATCATCTGCAGTTTATATATATGTATATATATATATATAATGAATGATCTCTGCCATTTGATGATTTGCTGCGAAAATACTTCTCTTCCATGACAAGAATATTCCACAGGTTCCTGTAGCTCCACTGCAGCGGGCGGTCAACATCCCCGTTTTCAGTCAATCAATGATGGACGACTCTCAGGGACCCTTGGATCTGCCCTCCGAGAAGGGGATCCCCACCATGATTACGTGGAGCTACGGCGGCGACCAAGTTGCTGTCGAGGGCTCGTGGGACAATTGGACCTCCAGGTACGCCCCCCCCCCCGCGCCTAGAGTCAACCTACGAAAGCGGAAAGAAAACGTGTAAAACATGGGGTTTTATTTTCCATCTTCGTCTCATCTGGCAGGCGGCCCCTCCAGAAGTGTGGGAAGGACCATGCCATCATCCTGGTTCTCCCCTCCGGGATCTACCAGTACAAGTTCATCGTCGACGGAGAGTGGAGATACGTTCCTGATTTCCCTTGCATAGCCGACGAGATGGGCGTCATTATGAATATTCTTGACGTCCATGTAAGTCTTCATCCCCCCCCATCTTTAAGAAACATATTTATTTGCTTATTTAGATGGAAATATACACACACACACACACACACACACATATATATACATATATAGATTGATTGATTCATGTATACGGAATTAATTATTTTTACCTGTATGGATATATATATATCGAAATCCCCACAGTTTTCTCGATTTCCCTGTAATCTTATGATAGATATGATAATCCAATGACGCAGGACTATGTGCCGGAGAACCTGGATACGGTGGCGGAGTTCGAGGCGCCGCCGTCACCGGAGTCGAGCTACGGCCAGCCGTACCCGGTGGACGAGGACTTCGCCAAGGATCCGGCCCTTGTCCCCGCGCAGCTCCACCTCACCGTTCTAGGCGCCGCCCACGGCGATGCATCGGCGGCGCCGCCAGCAGCGGGGGCGGCGGCGGAGAAGCCCCAGCACGTGGTGCTCAACCACCTCTTCATCGAGAAGGGCTGGACCTCACAGTCCCTCGTTGCCCTCGGCCTCACCCACCGCTTCAGGTCCAAGTACGTCACCGTCGTCCTCTACAAACCCCTCAGAAGGTAAAACCATAAGCCCTAAATGTCCTCCCACTCCCCCCCCTTTCTTCTTCTTCTCTGAGAAAAACTCCGACTGTACAGAACAGTAGTGAGTGCCGTCTGAAGGGCCGGGCCGGGCTTCCAGCCTTGGGAGGAGGGGGGGGAGGGAAGCAGGTCGGGCCGGTTCGGCCCAGGCCCGGTGGGGGTGGGTGCCAATCGATGGCATTTTTTTCCTTCAGTTGAGGGGGGGTGAAGGGGGGGGGGGGCGTTATTTTCTATTTCACGGGTGGGTCCCAATTTGATGTCATTCTTTCTTCAGTTGATGGCCAACTAGTGTGATTTTTACCGTGTGGGTCCTAGTTGATGGTAAATGCGTTGACCCATCGGAATATCACTTATTATGCAGCTGAGGGGTAAATGCGTTATTTTCTATTTCATGGGGGGCCGATTCATCTGTCCTTTCGGAAGATCACCATTAGTCAGGGTTACGAGGGCTTATTTCTATATCAAAGAAAGTAGGGGGCTTCTCTCTAAGTCAAGGAGTTTTCTGGGGCCGAATAAATTTTTTGACGAATACGCTCGGGCGATCCATGAGATCAGCAAGGTCTAAAAGATGATGGTACGGCTTACGAAGGGTTATTTCTGTAGCCAAGAAAATGAAGGGTATATTTCCAAAACTGAATAAATTTTTTGATGGATATAAACGCTTGGTGACTTATCTGTATATTTAGAAAAATAGAGGTTTTCATTCAGGGTTCAGCTGTTTCCAGGGACTTTATCTCAAATATGGGTGGTTTTTGTAATTCCCTCGTATATTACTGGAAAAAAATGGCATAAAAGCTTTTCTTTAGTAGGGCCAAGGTTTATAACGGGTTATTCGCAGATATATAAGCACGTATAGGCGTTTTTTCTAGGCCACTTATTTTAGGGACTTAAATACAAACTTTCGTGAACACGCTCTTGCATGATACGAGTGTGAGAATGGTATAAACCTCTACCTGGGAGGGGTAGCTTTGCAAGGGCTTATTTCCAGATGTACAAAAATGGGGGAATTTTAAATGTTAAATGATTCGTAAGGGTTTGTACAAAAATGATTCGCAACTCTGGTTAGTTGCGGCCCAGGAGAAAGCGTTGTTGGTAGGAAAGGGCCCAATAAGCTCAGACATAGCATTTCTGTTGGTCTTTGAGAGGAGAGTTGGGCTCCGAGTTTCTGGGCCATATCTTATTCGAGTCCGGCCCATTAGAGAAAACCAGAGGGCACCCCTTCCTAATGGCACCAAGCGATTGCTAAGTCTTCATTAGAGGATATAAACATAAAAATTAGCGTTTCATTTACGCCCCTGCCATTAGGGTATTAGCTCAATAAAAAAAATGGTGGCTTCTTTTGAGAAATTAGTGCATGAACAACAAAGGATACTTTGCAGATTGAAGGTCCTGATCTAGATAGAATTAGAATCTGACTAGAACACAGGTCAGCTGTCTCACCATACAAATTTGACGCAAAAATAGGAAATTTGCTCAATGGTTTGGTCTTATCTCCTATCTCTCAAGCCTTAAGTTGTTTTGTCATATTAACTCTTAAGTCCTAGTAAGTTAGCTTCCCTGTCGTCGTGAGCTAAACTAGGTGTTTAAGTGCCCCCTTATTTCTAAAAGCATTAACACCTAAGTCCTAATTTTTTGGGGTCAAATTTTAGGGTTTGTCACACTTAAATGCCAAGTTTCTATGATTCTCATCTTGTATTTTTTCATGCACAATGGCTTATTCGTTGCCTTCATTTTCAGGCTATTAAATCATTATTTCCTTCAATAAAATATTTTAATGCAGAAAACCCACATAGGTATATGCAATAATTTGGATGTTTGAATCGTCAAAATAATTTATTATTTTTAATAGTAATAATTGGGAACAACCGTAGTCCATAGTTGATGACTTTGGGTTGTACTGTGCCATTGTCATACAACCATACATACATTTTTGAAAGCTAATTGTGTTGAGATATTCCAATTCTAGTGGAAACCACTAACTCAAACTTTTCCCTTTTCACATAGTCAAGGGTTTGACCATGTTTTCGTTAGAGAGGGAGCAGCAAAAAGCTTAATGCCACAACTTGTGTTGGACGCATATAACATTTTTGGATGCACAACAAATTTTAGCTAGTTAAAGTTTAGGTAAATTTGTATTTTTAGCTGCATCCAAACTTGTAGTGGTCCTCACAAAGGACATGCAAAGGGGGTGGTCTTTCATCAATATTGGGCATGCAAAAATAGATAGTTGAAGGTAGGAACACAACAAAATATATTATCAGGTGGTATCTCAATATATGGCCCGTTTTTTATAAAGTAAAATAATTTTTGGTGGCCTTGCATCGATTAATATAAATGCATATATTTTTTTTATATATGTGAATATCTGTGGAGCATATTGATGGGCTTAGTTAGATCACTAATTTATTTTTATCGAGAGAAATGGCCTAATAATTCATACAAATATCATATTATTTTTCTATTATTAACGTTGATTAATTGGATATTCATTAATATAAAATAAGCTTGTGGATATGGCGACTCTACTAATCTTCAACTTGCATTGAATAAAATAACTTGACAATTTTTTGGAAAATGTACGGCGCAGCTCATGAATGGGCGACATATTCCCTCCATCATCTCTCTAATCGTGAGAATCGTGAGGAATCGGTTCCAGGAATCGGCTCAGGCCTGGCCCCCCCGTTTCTTGTCGCCTCCGCAGTTTTGTGTGGTGGGATGACTCGATAGCCACCGCCGCGATTTCGTTCTCCAGGATGAAAAGATCTGTTTGGCGTCCATTCTACTTCCGCCGACGGTGGAATCACTTCGTCGTATTCTGTCCCTTCACATTTCTCCTATCCGCGTGGAAAGTGAGCGCCTCTGTTGTCAATAGAGTGACGATATCAACCACGGAGAGACAGAGAGGAAGAAAGAAAGAGAGAGAGATAGAGAGAGCGAGGGGACCCTGAGGCCCCCCCCCCCACTCTCTCTCTCTCTCTCTCTCTCTTTAGGAGAGGAATCTTTTCTGAGGCCTGCATGGACCGCGATCGGATCCGGAGTCTGACATGTCGCTCTTCTGTCTCTCTCTCTACTCTCCCTCCTCCTGTGTCCCTGACCTGTCAGGGGACAGCTCTCTCTGTCTCCCTCCTAGTGCTCGTTGCAACGGCTTCTCGAAAGTCTTCTTGTACTTCCCAGAGGGAGAAGAGGAGGACTCGGTAGGTACTATTCTCACGCCTTTAATTTTTTTGTCTAAAATAAAAACTATTTTTAGGTGTGGGGGGAGATGGTTTGTTATAAACTATCTATCTATTTTTAGGCGTTAGAAAAACTCTGAAAATAAAAATGACGGATAGTTGTTCTCCTTTCGGATTCGGGGGCGTGTTAACAAGTTAAACCTGATCCTAATTGCCAAGTCCAACGAAGCCCAGATAAAATCGTAGGAAATGGGCTGTGGGTTGCACTCTCAAGATGCATCGGGCTGATCCTCATGCCTCCAACCATGCCTTACGAATATAATATGGAGAGAGAGAGAGAGAGAGAGAGAGAGAGGAGAGAGGGAGGGAGGGAGAGATAGATAGATAGATAAATAGATAGATAGAGAGAGAGAAAGAGAGAGGGAGAGAGAGAGGGAGAGAGAGAGGGAGAGAGAGAGAGAGAGAGAGAGAGAGAGAGAGAGAGAGAGAGAGAGAGAGAGAGAGAGAGAGAGAGAGAGAGATAAATTGCCATGTTTGGTGATCAAGGGACATCCCCCCAAAGTGGGATCGGTACCTTTTTCAAAGATTAGAGACCCCACAAGGGTAACAATTGTGTGCTACCCCCTTTTCTCTCTCTCTCTCTCTCTCTCTCCAAATATGGGTCGACCAGCAAGCTCATGCACGTTTTTGATCCCGCTACCAAAAAAATGATACTAAACAGTAATTTTTTTCATTTTGTTTTATTTATTAATGTAATTATTGAAACTTGGGTAGAGCTCAGTGATGAAAGAACCTGACTTTGAGGTTACATCACTCGTATCCGAATTAGTATTGGAAGCATAAAATGCTAGCCTTAGATGAACGCGAATTTTAAAAATATTTACGTATGCATGTACATCCTCGTCTATCTTGTCAGTTCATGATATAACTTCATGTAATTAATATAGTATTAATTTAAAAACTTTTTACCCAAATCTGTTTGTGACCGTTTATATGGAATCCTTGTTGAAAAAAAAAAAGTATTTTCTTAAATCCACTGAACCCTCATTCCCTCAATTTTCCCCCGGCTTTTGATTTTATTTTGTCGTGATTTTTGAGGATACTATTTGGATTATTCACTGAATTTTCCCTCGACATGGGATTTTTGGCTCTGACGCGAACTCAATCTAGCACCATGAAAAGGGTGCAAAAATCAGATTTTTTTGGTCGAAATCGGATACAACCCAGCCCCACAATGAGTTAAAACCCTACTCCACCGTGCGATCTACGAGATTTGTTCGTGGTTCTGCGGTAAGTTCCTTCTAAACTTGACAAACATGCTATGAAGGAAGCCCACAGTCTTCTTGAGGAAATATTGGCCGGCATGAAGGACTTAATATGGAAAAAAATATGCACTCGGGGTTGCTGTCTCAACATGCACCATGGCCATGATCGATCGTCAGGAATAAGACTTTGGTGACAAAAATATGATGAAAGCTGGGAAGTCATTACTGGATTAGGGTTTCGTATATTCGATGGGGTGCCATTCATGAAGAAGAAGAAGAAGAAGAAGGAGGAGGAGGAGGAGGAGGAGGAGGAGGAGGAGGAGGAGGAGGAGGATGAGGAGATCAAGAAGAAGAAGGAGGAGAAGAAGAAAAGAAGTAGGAAGAGGAGGAGAAGGAGGGGAAGAAGAGGAAGAAGAAGAAGAAGAAGAAGAAAAGGAGTAGGAAGAGGAGGAGAAGGAGGGGAAGAAGAAGAAGAAGAAGAAGAAGAAGAAGAAGAAGAGTAGGAGGAGGAGAAGATTCACGAAGACCAATACCACCAAGAACCTTGGAGTCATTGGGGGGAAAGGGGGGGGGGGGGGGGGGGGGGAAGAAATCCAGCAAGGCCGGCCATTGATTATCAGCAAGGGACCCAAACCGTGGCGAAGACGACGTTGTGTCCCTTCCAGGTGAGCAGGATCCCCTCCTCCTCCTTCTTCATCCCCCATCCGGCGGCGTGCTCATCCAACATGCTCTTCACCTCCGCCACCGCCTCCTCCCCGAATGGCACCCCTTGAAACCCCACCGCCTTCATTCTCTTCATCCACCTGCTCCTCTCCTCCGGCCTTTCCACCCTCTGCAACCCCTCGCAGGCCAGCAAGTTCTCAATCTTCCACATCACCTCCCCTTCGTACCACCACCGCTGGTCGCTCCCCCGCGGCAGCACCGCCTCCGCCGCGTCGTAGTGCACCCACAGATAATTAAACGCCGTCCTCAGCCGCGCCACCAGGTCGCCGGAGCTGAGATCCACGTCCTCCTCCACCAGGGTCACCGCCGCAGGGTTCAGCCCCCTCACCGCCTTCAAGAACTCCGCCCTCCTCGCCGGCGATTCCGCCGTCTCCGGTATGTAATGCAGCTTCATCTGGCAGTTCACCACCAGGGCCTCGCCGTCGCAGAGCACCAGCTGCTGTTGCACTCGCAGGTGGTCGATTAGGGTGGCGAATCCGTCGGAGGGCTCGCAGGGGACGGCCTTGAACTCCATGACGACATGGCGGGACCTTGCGAAGTTGACGAGCTTTCTTCCAAGCTCCTCGCATGGGACGTCGACGGTGGGAGGCGGCGCCGCCGCCCAATCGGCAACGGTGAGCTTTAGGAACGGAGGGCCCTCGGGGCGGCCGGCGAGGGCGTCGATCAGAGTGGGCATCTGCATGCAGTGTGTGGTGCTGAGATCGACGATGTGGACGACGGGGAGGCCCTCCACGGCGTCGAGGATGGCGGCGTTGGCAGCGGAGTAGCCGAAGCGGTGCCACGGGGTGAGGTCGAGGAAGGCAGCGAGGGAGAGCGGGGAGAAACGGTGGGAATGGGCGGCACCGCCGCTGTCGCCTGCGCCGGCGACGGCGGCGAGGGAGGAGAAGGCGCCGGAGCGGGAGGCGCGAGAGGTGAGGGCGCGGAGAATGGCGGAGGTGAGGCGCTGGGTGGGGTCGCCGTCGGGGGGGGCAATGTTGTGGAGGACCCAGAGGATCTGCTGGGCGAGGGTGGCATCGTTGGAGTGGATGGCGATGGCGCAGTGGACTAGGAGCTGCTCCATGCAGGAGGCGGTATTGAAGGAACCGAGGGACTTGGCGGAGGAGGAGGGGAAGCCCGGCCATGGGCGGCCGCGGTGGAGGAGGGGGCCGTTCGGCTTAGTGGGGAGGTCCAGGGAGAGGGAGGAGCGCCCCCCGCCGTGGTGCAATGGCGGCGCCGCCGGAGTCGCCGCCTCTGTGTACTGCATCATGTGTCCCGTGTGTCTCCTAGAACAAGATAGATAGTGAGTGAGAGAGAGAGAGATGGTAGGAGACTAGTCACAGGTTCAGGAAGCTGAGAGCAGCCAGGCACCCCTCTCTGTGGGAGAGGGAGAGAAAGGGATGGCGAAAACCTAGTACAGTTACAAGAAGCTGTTAACAGGAACTCTTACTGGAGAGAGAGAGAGAGAGAGAGAGAGAGAGAGAGAGAGAGAGAGAGAGAGAGAGAGAGAGGGAGGGATAGGAAGAGACCACTCACAGGTTCAGTAAGCTGGGGGGCAGGCAGGGAGGACCCGTCTCTGTGGTGGAGAGGGAGAGACGACGAGAGGAAGAGAAAGGGATGGCGAAAACATTGTGGAGAACAGTTACAGGAAGCTGATGACCAGAACTTTTACCAGAGAGAGAGAAAGAGAGAGAGAGAGAGAGGGTACAAATAGAGTACAATAACATGAAGCGGAGGACAGGAACCTCCTCCTGAAGAGGAATTGTGTGTGAGAGAGAATATCGATAGAATACAACTGGAAGAGGCCGAGAACAGGAATTTCTCTGCAGCACGATCCGAGAGTCGTCTGTGAAGCAAGAGCGGCACACACAGATTGAGCTGATTCAAACGGGTTTCATAAAATTACCCTCCTCAACTAGAGGGAGAGGGGAGAGATACATAGAATACTAGTAGGGTATCATCAGCAGAATATGAAGCACCGATTCTGTGAGCGTTACCTGCAAAGCTTAGGGAGGTGCGGATGGATCGAAGATCTGAGACAGTTGGGTTTCATAGAAT